ATGTTTTATGCCCAATGTTTATGCAAATTAATACACTGCATGTAACTTTTGACTCATAAGATTCGATTTAATCTTCTTTTTGACACTACCTATAACAATTCATGAAAAATTCAAACAATTCTGTCCATATAATCAACGTATTCAATTTTGTGTTTACCAAACCACTAAAATATATATGTTCTGGAAAATACTACAGGCAAATCTTTTATAGAAGAGCAAAATAAAGTTGACAATCTATGATTTTCATTTTTAGTTTCATCGCTAATTGATGCTTCACTGCGCTTTTTCGATTCATGACAAGTAGTTGGTTTAAATAAAAATGGAATATTGCATGTTTATACTAAATACCGTTGAAAACTCTATTATAAACCTTCTATATTATGGTCTATATTATGCTGATTCCCATGCAGTTGCACTTTGTTCAAGGTTATTTTTACAAAGCCCCTGATTGGCCTTTCGTCAGCAAAAGCTGCCATCTTTGACATATAGAATGCGATTTATTCTTCTTTCTGACACCAAATATACTGCATGCAGCAATTCATAAAAAAATCATGAAAAATTGCATGAAATCACGACGAGCTTCAATTTTGGTATTTACCGAACCACTTGAAAAATATATGCGCGGGAAAACACTCTTTGTTCGCTAATTTATAGAAAAGCAAAATAAAGTTGACAACTCATGAATTGGTTAGCCCCATTCCTAATTAACGCTTTGTTTTGGACATTATAAAATAGATTATTTTATTGCCGTTTTTCGTGATAAGTAGTGGGTTTTAATAGAAAGAGCATTGTTTATAATAAATATTGTTATGAAGAGAAAAAAGGGCATGGAATAATATTTTTATAGAAGCTGTTATTTGCTCTTTGAAAAGGAACGTGACGTGATAAATTAAGAAGTGTGGGTTCAAAATTCCAGATTGCACAAGACGCGATGTGACAACGCGGTGGGCCGGATTCTTTCGGTTAAGAAGTAGATTTTTTCGTATCTTACGAAACACCAGCTCGAAACTTACACATGTACATGTGTACACAAGCAACCACATGTATACACCAGCAACCACAAAGTTCTCAATCTGTTAAATAAGGCTAAAGAGAAGAGATTTCGGGTGACACACCAAAGACAAAATGACTGTCCAAGTTCAATAGGTTTTGCAAATATTGCTGCAAACATGGCGGCCATTTTAAATTATTTTTATTCTAATTTTTAACTGACATCTTTACTATTAATTATTCAATATATGTAACCACTTTTTCTTTAACAAAAAAATCTGTTCGAAATATCAAATGGCATTCATTTCGCCGTGGGCAATACCTAAACAATCATAAGGTTTGTAAAAACATGCTTAAATATCGCAGACGAGACGCGTCAAAATATGCCATCGCTATATATTGGCAATATCAAATATATCTTTCAATCTATATAGATTAGACAAAAATTGATCAACGTAGCCGAACAGCTATAGCTAAAGAAGTGCAAAAATTTAGCAAATTTTAGATTTTTGTTGAATCAAATTTCCAAAAACACAGCATTTTCCATGCAAACATAATTCATAGCCATCTTTACATTCGAATATTCTACCCACATTGAAAAAAATAAAAAAATATGGAAAATATACAATTGAGTAAAACGACACTCATATTTCCAAATTATGTTTAACTGCGTGCACATTCACTCTATAAGTATATATATACGCGGTGACTATACGCAAGCTAAATGTACAAATGAAATAGCCATGCTAATACATATTTGTGCTTGCTTAGGTTTCATTCTGAGTAAAGATATAGTTTTTTTTATAGGAATGCTTATAAAACTATTTTGTGCATAGGTATATATATCATACGTTTTACTCAAAATTACAAATCTCTATAATAATATCTTTAATCGTGTAATAAATATCGCAAACTAGGTTAGACCGTTACAGACGTCGAACTTTTTATGCGCCAAACCTAATGTTAATGGGCTAAAGTCTTTAGGTTCATTTGAATTTTATCCGGCACATAAAAGTTTAACGTCTGCAACGGTCCGTCCTATATAATACTAATTACTGTCATATGCATGCATGGCGTCTTCTCTATATAAATAAGTGACTATAACATTCAAAGGTTTGGTAAAGCCTAAAGGCCGCCTCCGACGTCCGCTCTTATAACACGACAACCACACGTTGTGTGCCTGAAATTCACTGTGAGGAAAAGTAAAATAAGAAGAAAAACGCCGTCTTTTTAAACAAAACTATATATAGATTCGGATTGGAGCAACAAAGGCGCTTGAATGCATGTCGGTAAACCTTCGAAGACACACGAAGTGTCAAGAAGAGCAAAATGAAACTATTAAATCATAAAGTCGACCGGCAGACAAAATGACGATGACTTTGATGTATTTCAATGTCCATGAAATGAGGTCGAAAATTTACACCTACTTAGCGCCTTTCTTGATTAATCAAAAACGTCATATCAAGATGGCCTCATTCTATCGAATTCGCACGCGTCTTCTTTAAGACTCTTTTTTCACTCATCGCAAAGGCGCAAGTTCGCTGCAAGGGTTTTCATCCAACGAAAATGCTTTTATAGGTTGATTGTAATTATATATTATATTACTCGCAGCGAGCTTGCGAGTGCATGGGTTTTTGCGATCAGTGGAAAAGGGCCTTTATGCTCCCATTAAATGTGGACTTTATTAAAAGTCATTTCTATTAGACGAGTAGATAATTTTTTATATAGCATCGCTTATTGCATGGTCTATGGTATATTACCTAACACCCGAATTGGAAGAGCTACGAAAAATTCACGCTGCGATGCGCTGTCCGCAATCAACCTGACTACATGTAACAATCAACCTGAGTACACGGCCTGATTGCAGGTTACACAACCTTCCTTTTTAAGACTAAAAATGCCGAAAATATAACTCAACTCGACATTCTATTCAATTTAAAATTAAACTCTATAGAGTATAGTACTTAAAACATGTTTAAACTATATCCTACAATTATATATAGTTACTAAACAGAACGGAAGTCGCTATATACATTATGATTACAAAAATAGCAGCAATAGTGCTTAAATTTCGAAAGGCATTTTGCAGTTCGCATCGTAGGTCTCACATCCCCCGCTATAAATGCTGTAAAGCGAGCGGCAAACTTGTCAACAGGACTTTAATCAAGCATATTTATTAAGAACAATGTTTGCAGACTAATTTCCTCGCGCAAATAAGATCGGCCCGTAGCTGCTGTCGAGTCTTTCCAGTAATTATAAATGCCCCCGTATTATTCGACTTTAATTTTTCACACTTTGTGTTTCGCGGCGACGACAATTTGTGTTTTGTTTTTATTCGCGGACAAAAAAAAGGCATGGAAGCGGTTCAAATCATTCGGGGGAGTTAGGTATGTATCACGATAGATGAAAAAACAATAATTTATCATATAAATTGCAGCAGGCCTGTTTCAATTAAGGGATTTTGTCCATCTGTAATCTTTCATTAGAAGGTTCATGCATATGTAGACGCTTCTATATGAGCAACACGTCGAAAATTACCGTGAACGTTTTTGCGGTATATATGCATGGTAACGTAATTCTTGTTGCTATAATGACTAATGTGGTAATTCCTAGCTGTGCAGGGAAAATCAAGTGGACTGAGTATACATATCACATGTATATTTAGTTCGTGCACTAACACAACGGTTCTCAACAAGCGATATAGCTACTTCACAACAATCAACATTACAATTTACAATAGTATAGGCTATAGTCTCTTTGACCTAATTTGTAAAAGCTGAGAATTTCAGAATTTTACAGCCGAAAATGCAATTAAGTCTTCACCCAACTAACTGTTCGCCCAAACTGTTCTTATGTTGAGAAGTTCAAAACTCGTCTCGCGCCATAGACCGAGAGTAAAATGCCTTTCACGCTATACGACGTAAGCCGTAACCGGTTCTGTTGAAATCAAAATCCACAACCATGCATGTAGCTTAAGGCTTTATCACATGGAGTTTGACTATATGTCCGCCTTGCCGTGATAGACTTCAGTTTGTCAATATCAAAAACAATTCCTTACAAATTTAATTCCGTTACGATGACAATTCAAAAATATTTCATTTGTTGCATCAGTTTAATTTAATTTGTCGGGAGACTGATATGACGAAGGCTTTGCGTTTGCAAGGTTAGCGTGACTATTTTCGCCAGTTAGGTCTCGCGTTACGATGTATTTTAATGCTTTTATATCATTCCACTCCAAACTATCTAGAAATAAAATGCTAGACGCTTGTGGATTTAGCGCTAGACGCTCGAGGCTTGGACGTTTCATCAGAAATGTGTGATGTAGTAATTCCATCAGAAATGTGTAGTTATTCCATCAGAAATGTGTGAAGGTAGTTATTCCATCAGAAATGTGTGAAGGTGGTTATTCCATCAGAAATGTGTGAAGGTGGTTATTTCATCAGAAATGTGTGAAGGTAGTTATTCCATCAGAAATGTGTGGAGGTAGTTTCCAACAGGAATGTGTGAAGGTAGTTTCCATCAGAAATGTTTGAAGGTGGTTATTCCATCAGAAATGTGTGAAGGTAGTTTCCATCAGAAATATGATAGTATCATAAATTGCATGCAACCAGTATCATAAATGCATGCAAACTGATACACTACTTTGTCACACACAAGATATTTTATAACTGCCCTACATGCTCACATGTGGCGCCCACTGCAAAAGCCTATAGATAAATAAATAGCCAATGCGTGCATGCATGGGTCCTGATATTGATGCATTCTTTATATCGATGCCTCGTCTCACGAGTAACTTCCATTTAGCCAATGGGAGTACTTTGTTTTTAACGTTAGCATTGTATAGTGATAAGTATGTCTTTAACTCGTAAGTTATAGAGGTCATATCAATTATACATACAAGACTTCGTTACGCAACATATTCAGTTGAACTTTATTGCGTGAACTAAATTGCAATACAATCTTTGTAATTGGTGTATATATACGACGAGTATATTTTTCTCTATATCTAGAGGTTGCCACTATGCTGCAAAGAAAGCGGAACTATTTGGCTTGTTTCATCTTAATGATCTATATAATAATCCAAGCCAACGGAGAGAATGAATCCAGGTATAACATTAAACGATATATGCATTAAACGATTAAAACGTTACTTACAAAGTGTGAAGTATTCAAGACCGATTCGCTTGAAAGACAATGATTATTAATTTAAAACGTGAAAACGAATGAACTTATAATGTGCCATTTTATGCCTAATAAGTAATATCGATGTTATTTTGTTTTCAAATATTTAAATTTGGTTTCACTTTCAGGCAGTTACGGGCATGCTTGTACTACACGGTGATCTCTCAGTTCATTTATAAAGTACACGTCATCTTTTTTGCTGCTTTAGAGAGCAAGAATTATTGAGATTATTTGAGGAACATAAGAATGATACAATGAGCGCAAACGTTCGACCAGGCAAAAGACTCACAAAATTATTAAAACACATTCTGAAGAACTATGACAGGAAGATACGGCCATTTTATGGAGGTGAGCCCAAAGACAACCATACACTAGTATACTAAGTTACGTGAGTTTTTCACCAGTGCGTTTGCCACACGATGTCCGTGTAGCGGATGAAAACGTGGCAAAAATCGTCGCAAATTGTCTATAACACGCATGCGCCTATACGTTTGTAAATTATATCTTATTAAAAAAAAAACGGACGTTCAATGCAGCGTTTATTGAAAAACTTCACTTCACTTGTGGAAAATTTATTATTCATCCACTCCTCAATAATTTTACTTTCAAATTCAAGTCCGTTTAGCACTTTGCAAAAGGCAATCAACTAATATTCTTTTCTTTTAACAGTGAAGCCATTAGAAGTTGAACTAGATGTCCTTATTATATCCTTTAGTGAAATTAGGGAAGCCAACATGGTAGGTACATGTATATTCTAGCTAGTCCTTTATCCACCAATCTAATTCAAAATAACTAGATATTTAACAGACAATGATTTATTTATGGAGACATTACCATGTTGCAACCGGCTTTACATAATTATGCCTGCAGGCCTCTCAATTCTCATAGACCATCAGCCAATTGCCTTGCACCTTTAGAACTGATAGAAAGGCTCCCAGGCAAAAAATCTTTTTGAAGTATTTGGCTAAACCATGCTTAACAGAAATTTCTACTAATCCTAAATAAACCAATTAACTGAACCATGGAGAAACTATTTCCAACTGATACAGGCACACAGCAGTACTGATGGCCTGACTCTTAATTACATTGTCCGATTAAACACCAACTCATCAGCAGTGACTTAGAGAGAAGATAAGAGGGCTTCATCCTTCCTGAAAAGCACAGTGCACCCCCTTTAAAAATGTTAAGATCTAATTCGAATTCAACCCACTTGCAATAAAAAGTGCACTTCAATGCCACTTTAATTTGTTCATAGCCTTTAAATGACATTTCACACCAAAGCATTCCTGAAAGATAATTAATGCCCAACTCTCCTGCAATATTGCTCTCTGATTAGTATAAATATTCTTTCTATGTTTGCCATTCACTGCTAGCATAAACAGTGTTTACTTGCAATTGACTGACAGATTGCTTATAATAATGGTTGCCTGGCTCAATTAAATCACCAGTGTGAAAAATATTTTGCTTTCAACCAGGAATTTGTGGTCGACTTCTATCTTGGCCAGTTTTGGCGTGACCACCGTTTTGCGTTTGGCATTAATGAAAACTATACTATGGGCGATGAATTTGTCAACGAAATCTGGACGCCAGATACTTTCGTTATAAATGCTGTTGAAACTCAAGTGCATAAGCTCACCAAAGAGAACCAGAAAATTTTCATGAATTTAACAGATGGTTGGACAATGCATACGTCAAGGTAGGTCATAGTCATAGAAGCATTGTATTCAAAGTTATTTCAAACCAATGTTTTATATCATTTATTGGATTTAATAGTATCAGGATTCAGGCTCTTACCTTCAGCTTCAAGGGTATTTCAGACTGGAATTAATTACGATCACAGTCTTATTTCTATTAACTGTGTTGCGACTGATCAGTTGATGACTACGCCCAGATTGTTCATAAAGTGATCAAACCATAAGGCGAACGAGGACCATCATTTTGTACGACCATTTGGAGCCTTGTAATTGTAGCGGGTCCACCAAACAAGTATATTCTCTCGAAACAACTCTTAGATCAGTTATATAGGTAGAAGACTGTGACCTGTAACCAAAAAGAATAAAATAACGTATGAATTATGAAAACCGCCAAAATTTTGAATTGGGACCTACGTTATGCATGGAACTACTTTATGTAACTTGCATAAAATGTAACGAAGTTGTGTTTTTAAAATCCGTATAAAATATCGCGTTTTGTTGTCGTATAATTGGAGAAATACGAATAAAAGTTGCTCGAAGAATTTTAGAACCTGGGGCCGGTTGTTCAAAAGCCGGTTAACGCTAACCCAGGGTTAAAAATGCCTAACCCAGGGTTAAATTTTAAACCTTGGTTGATTTGCGTTGCACAAAGCTCGGTTAGCGTTAACCCTGGGTTAAAATTGATAAAAAAATTAACCCTGCTAGCTAGGTGGGTTAACTTTTTAACCCTGGGTTAACTTCGATTCAAAATGGATGAATAAGGAGCTGAAAGACGTAAACACGTATAATTCGTCATGAATTAAACACTTTTGAAAGGTTTTACGAATAATTTCGACAGCAAAGAATTATTTAAGTTTGACTTCGTTCGGTTTCAGCTGATGTATTGATTTATTCATCTTCGCTTCAATGCAATACATGATAAATGAATACAACCGTACAAATTGAAACATCGTAAATCGTAATCGAAATATTTGTTTCGGATGCCAAAATTCGATTCTTTTGATTGGCAGCAAGTGGTAAGGCTACGTTTGTTCCTGAATTTTGAATAATCAAAGAATGCCTGAAATTTAAAATAGATTGTTTATAATTTCCTTAATTTTATTTCACATCGACATTGTTTATCATACAAAATGGCCTTTCATTTCGAATCTTTCCAAAATTCCATGCACGGAAATTGCTGTTCAAAACAACGTCCCTGCGACCCTGCCCTCACGGCATATAATCTTTCGACTGACAATATATCCTCGTCGGGTAAAGTTTTGACGCTCGTTTATTGACCAATCGAAAACGTTCTTATATCCAATTTAGTCCTTAAAATACATTTAATCTTAGGTTAAATATTTTAACCCTGGGTTAACTAACCCTACCGCTAACCCTGCTTTGAACAACACAATTTTAACCCAGGTTTAGCTAACCTATGGTTAAGGATTTTAACCTAGGTTTAGCACTAACCCAGGGTTAAATTTAACCTGCTTTTGAACAACCGGCCCCTGAATGTCAGGCCTTTATTGTTCTCCCCTTTAGCGTTAGGGCGAAAAAAAGGCCTGTCAATCAGCCTCTTTGCTCCACTAAAATTGGCTGAATTCACGACTTGCGTCTACACAAAGCGGTCTTTACTTACATATTGGAATAGAATAAATCTATCTTGCTAAGAGTAAGCCTACAAAAATTAATAATGACATAATATTAATAATAGGCTACCTATACTATGTCCGTGGGTAGTTTTTATTTTCCATAAATGTGCTATCAGTCGATTTTTTATGGTAAATTACAGGGGCGAGTGGGACTGTGGGAATATAAAATATAACAGGACTTTTATCATCGCTTAATAGCAAAGGCTGTGTCAAGAACTTACCAAATTGCAATACTATCTGCCAGATTTTTTATCTAGGTGCCTTAAATCGTTTATAGAAAATTGGTTTTAAAATTTTTTTCGAAATTTTACTTTAGTGTTTATCAAAGCAGGTGTCTCAAAAATGATCTACCTTTATTGAAAGTGAAAAAATTATCTTCTGATCTGCTATCAAATAAATATATATTATTATATATATCCAATGCATTCTTCTTTTGAATTTTTAAGGCTCAGGGTGACAGCGTCTTGTAAATTGAATTTAAGAAACTATCCGAAAGACACCCAGGAATGTAGCCTTCCATTTGAGAGTTGTAAGTATGTTTAGTTTAAATAAAGCATGTAATATATTTATTGGCACTTATACCCTCGCATGACGTGACTTTTTGGATCCGACCAACAGGCACCAAAATAAACTGAAGTTGTGCGAACAAACCCGTTGTGTTAGTTGCGAAATGCTGTGTCTTCGCCTCTCCTTTTAAAATATTCGGCTGCTTGAATAGCCTCAGCCGGCTCAGGTGAGATAAATCTTCCCCCGGACTCTATGATCAAATGATAAAAGTGCAACTGAGGAAAGACAGCACTGCCCATGGGAAAATTAAGTTCCCCCATGTTTGCCCCAAGCCCCCAAAGTCTTCTGCAAAGCTTAAAAATGACACTTGCTTGATGAATCCTGTAGATACGTACGAGGAGTTTGATCTAATCTACAAATGGCGAAATAATGGCTCGATTTTCATTTACGACGACGAGATGGCGCAATTCGTAATGGCAAAAGCAGAAAGGGGTTTGAAACATAAACAGTACCATTCAGGTATGCCACTAAAATGGGGAAGGATTGATGATGTGTAACGTGTTGTGATTGGATAGACTATACCGAGATATTACAATACAACTGGGATAGACGAGTAATCACTGTAAAGCCTGGTTTCCGTTTGTCGTAATTGTCGTGAACGAGGTATTTTCACCCAATTTCCTGTGTTCAAATCGGTCGTTGTTGACTGCACACAAATAGAGATATTCCATCTCATCGGCTACTTTCACGACAATTTTATGCCGACTGAATGGAAATCAGGCATAAACTAAAGAAATCGGGTATATTTATTCAAATTTACCTGCGAATAAAATATCCAGAATATGCATGGTATCTGAGAAATATATTATCATAGATGATGTGTAAAAACCATGCAGGTCCAGAGGCCGGGTGTATAAGGTGGTTCACTTAACTAGCTCAACTATATTATTAGTGACAAATCAGCAAATCCATGCATTCTAAAGTTAGTAATATGTACGACTCTTGATGAACGGGCGAGGCCAGCCAGTGAGGGCTTCCCCTAGAGGGACGACCCATACATACTAGAGTTTGCTCAGCCACAAGGAGACATCGCAACAAAAAACGGTTCGTTAGTGAAATCAAAAAGGTAGCCCCCATCTCCTTTGCAGAAGATATAACCATTACCAAATAACCATTGGAACAAAGCTCATTGATGATTGGTATGTAGTAGAACGTGGCCTTCTAATTTTTTTTTCAGAACAATTCTCAGGCCTTACGGTGACCTTCACATTTCAAAGACGGTGGATCTACTATGTTTATCAGGTCTACATACCATGCATCTGCATAACAGTTCTATCCTGGATAGGATTCTGGATTGACCATAAGGCCGTGCCGGCCAGAACGGGACTTGGCATCACCACCGTCTTGACGATGGTGTACATGCTGGCCAGTGTAAATAGTAACTTGCCAAGGGTGACTTACCTCAAGTCCATTGACAATTTCGTGTTGGTGTGCTTTGGGTTTATCTTTCTCACGAGTTTGGAGTACGTTGTTGCGATCAGATTCTCACAAAGAAGGAGAGCCTCGAATGATCGCAAAAATCAGAAAACACTCTCGGATAATTTATCTGTAAGTTCTGACATTCATAAACTTATGTTCGATCACTGGTTCTATACAATTCCACGAGCATCGTCAAACGGCGCTGCTCGCGCTCACAATGCTAGCGCTCAAACTTCAAAACGACGCAATTTTCAGAGGTTTTGAAACTCCCGACTTTTTGCCTGCACGGAGACGTAAATAATGAATACGTAAAAAAAACATCTGCGAATAAGTGAAAGGTTTAGTAGCCCCGTTCACACTCCAGTCAATTTATTGGCACGGTACGGCTAAAATTGGTAGCCGTACCCAATTTTATTAGTGTTCAGGCTAACAATGGGTCGGGCACGGACAAAATAGGCACAAATTCCACTACCCAAACTTGGGTAGTGCTCTCCAGTGCTTTCGCAATTTAAATAGACTTTTTACGGTGGGAGGATGCTTTGAGTAATTCTGAGACAAAGACCATTTGAAAAGAATATATCAAACTTCCTTCCTCCCCTCGACAGAGTCAAGTTTCTAAGGAAATTTCCTTAAAAGTGAGAACGCCGGTGCTCTCTCATTTGCTGCCTTCAAACGCAACCATAATCGTGTTTTAATACAAAATCCCTGAAAATTGTGATTGTTAACCAATCAGAGTGGACCATTCGATTTCATGAAATGAATATTGTCATGATGCTACTCTGAGTCGCCAACCTGAAGCTGAAAAATTACTCAGAGTAGCATCATCACAATATTGATTTCACATATACACTTGAGCCTTATGCACAATTACTATATATTAGATTTCAATGAAACAACTGACGAATTTCATCGACTTCGAAGTCGTTTGAACACCACCAGAGTGACGTTTTTCATATTTTCTTATCAGGAGGACGAGAAACCGCCTCTAACAATACAAGTCAACCAAGGCGGGAAGCTCATGTCGTTTGAAGAAAAACCGCCTCGCTATGAATGCAATGGCCATGCTACTGCAAACGGACAAAGCAGGCCGGTGTTAACGCGAATGGACTCGGCCAAGTCCTCCTCGCTGCTTTACAGTCACGTGGTCAAGCCGAGGAGGCAAACTAAGCTCGCCTCAAGCCTGCGCCATCGCGCCTCCCCGATACATAAAATTGTTACGCATGACAATATTATTGATATGATCAGTCGAGTTCTTTTCCCAGTAGCATTTCTGATATTTAATGTTATATACTGGATGGATTTCCTGGAAAAATAGCAAACAAAATGGATACTGGATTTTCGGTAGGTCGAATCAAATTAATCGCAGATAGAAGTGTCTAGAGGGAGGCGAATATACTCGGCATGTATGCTGTAAAAACTGAAATCAAATTTATCATAAGCCATCAAAGTATGGGGCTTTGGGCAGCATAGTGGTGCAAAACAGCCTGCATCGTCGTGGAATTTTGGAATGGGAACCTGCACCTTCTTCGTGTGGAAACATTTTTAGCAACAGAGCGGCAGGACAAACTCGTACAACGGAATAATAAAGTCAAAAATGTTATCAGCGTAATTTTAATTTTATGGTGGAGGAAAGTTCAACGGATGCATGCGTGAACCTCTAAATACGTTTTAAACTTAACGATTGGCAGTTAAATTGCAGCCAACACCAAAATCGTCCATTGCAACGTGTTAACGTGCAAACGGTCCAGACACGTCGCGTTCCAACACGTTCAGTCTGAGTGCTTCAGATGCAAAAGATGCAAAACATCTGTCAGATATCAATCATGCAACTGTATTTTGTGTCTTGGATTGAACACTTGGTCGTTCCAGTGTTTATGGAGTTAACTAGTGGTTGATTTGGTACCTAAAACGCTGCGGCTTATATCCCTGAACATGTTTTCGTTCTGTTTCAGACGTCGAACATTTCATGTGTCGAATCGAATGCAAATGAACTTAATTAAACAAAGACTTTAGCTCACCAACATTAGGTTCGGACATGAAAAGTTTGGCGTCTGAAACGGGCCTAAATGGCCCTAATCCCAAAGGAATATTGATTGAGATGGTCTAAAAGAAAACTTATCATAAATTGTATAAATATGAACAATATATAATTATATATTTGTCTTTGAAGTTTGAAATTATGCGCGGTAATATTTTTTAATAATATATATATTTATAGTTAACGCACTTTAATTGAAGTTTACGCGCTAAATTAACTTATATATACACATGCATCTGTACATTGTCTTTGCAGTTTCGCGTGAATTTCGTACGGATAACGATTATTTACATTATATAATTAACGCGAGCATTCTTTAGGCTTTCGTGTTGTCAAATTGCCTTGAGACTTACAGGCGCCACTAGCAATGTTCTTCATCTAGTAGCCAAAATACATTTACAGAGCACGCCCTGTTGAGACTTTCATAAAGGCTCGTTATGATTAGGGCAATGTAGAGTATCTCCGAAAATTGCCCTAATTCTGGTTATCGGTCCAACTTCACAATTTGGATTTGGATATTTCGTCGAAGTGATTGCCAGACTGACGTCACATTTAACGCCCATTGCGCGAGGTTGTGTCGGCCGGTACTAGCGCCATGTGCCATTACACATTTCGATGTCAGCGGTTCACATCGTGCCTGCATTTAGGGTAATTAAATCCCGAAGTGTACTGTCCTTGGCCATTCGACTTTTCGCGGCTCTTGAATGTGATACTACATGCATACCGTCTCGGACAGAAGATGTCCGGATGGAATACAGCTGGTTATACCGTTATGGAGACGTAGTGTTCTTAGTGTAAAATCATTTACCCATCACAGACTTCGCTAAATTCACGGGTACTCGACAGTAGTCGGCGCAACCACAACAGGCACAACATTGTGTGTTCTGGAACTGACCACGGAGTTTAGGTAGTCAGTTGGAAATATTCCTTGATGTGTTACCTTATTGAGCTGTAATAACGTCCTCTTCGAGTGTTACTCGTGCTCGGTGGCTGATATTGACCTTTATTTAGGGGGAAATTATTGGTCATTTAACGTGGTGTTGGAAAAACAAGTAAGAAAACTATATTTCCTATCTAAGTCTTGACTATTTACTATGCGGCGAAGACTCGTGAAAAAATCACTATCGTAAATGAGTTATAGTTAACGGATTGCGATCGAGTATGGTAAAAAATGGCGCATTTGAAATAGTAGACCTACTCAAAAGTGCTTTTACTAATGCATGGAAGATTTAGAACTTACTCCATTGTATTGTATCGTCAAAATCATCCGTTTCTTCATCCAAGGCACTATCTTCCACGTGGTAGTACAACTGTTGATGTCCTTGGATACCGTGTTCAGTTGAGGGGTGATAGTTGGATATGGGCATACTGACCCCGGTGATCCCCGTTACCATGCTTTGTCCGCTGTATCCAAATGAGCCTGCGGGACGTAATTGACCACCAGGACCGCTGACACCACCCATCGGCGTGGAATGTCTGCGTGTTGGCGAGGTTTCTGGTGGCTATAGACGAATATAAGCGGTAATTTTTGAACTTCATTAGAAGGTTGGTGTCAAGTATTACGTAAACACGGTACAATAGCTAAAGCTCGGGTTTCGTTTAGTCGTTATTGTCGTGAACAAGTCATTGTGACGTAATAGAATTTTTTTATGTCTGCGCAGTCAACAATGACCGATTTGAATATAGAAAATAATAGCCCTGTTTACACTACAGTCAATTTATTGGCACGGCACGGTTAAAATGTGTATCCGTGCCCAATTTTGTTAGTGCTCAGGCTACCAAAACAATGGCCGGGCATCGATGAAATGGGCACGGGTACCCAATTTAGCCGTGCCGTGCCAATAAATCATGTGCAGTGTAAACGGGGCTAATATTTCTTATAGGAGAAAAAATGACCTGTTTGCAATGAACAACCTTTCTCGAATTAGCTGAATGATCTTTCAAAATTAAACACAAAATTCAAAACGCATACAACTTACTCGAAACGAGTGTGTTGTGTTCGGTCTTGAGTCTATTAGCGCCGCTCCCTTATCTTTGAGAGACTTTCTGCAAATTTAAGAAATTTGAAAAACATCAGTTTGATTATGATCACTTGTGAATCCCTTCACATGTATCTAGCGAGGCGAAGAAACGACAATCTACCTGGAGTCATCCGTTGCAGCGCTCGCTGCTCGTAAATTAAAATGAACTTTCGTCTTCTAAAACAGAAGCTAAACTTTAGTACGAATTAGTACGTTCCCCATGCATGCGAACGACGTTCTTTTACTCGACATTTGTCTAAAAAATGCGCCAGGAACTTTTACGATAAACTTCGCCGTCCATAGTCAACTTCCAAAGGGAAAAAACATGCATTATATAACTAGTATAATCTTGGCGATGTCTTGTCTCAAAGAGATTCATTGACCTTCTTGTGGAAACAAGACACCAAACTAGGTGGTTATATTTCTAGTCAGGTGCAATATATACGCCGAAAAGAATATATACGCCGAAAAAATACATGACTTCCCAATAATATATACAAGATAATATAAGACTTACGGCACTTCCACGTGGTCGTGTGTCCAAGAATTCTGATTTGTCGATCGGAGGCAAGGTGCCGTTCCGCGCTCCCCAGAGTTGAGGAGATGTCGATGTTGTGTTGGGGGATGGGAGACGTTCACTTCCAGTGACACTATATATAGATAGATTCAGACAGAAATTAACTCTCTGTGTCGTGAAGAAGTTAAGAAACTATACGAAATTCAACGAAATCATGTCTAAAATTCGAAACTCAACTTACAGTTTTGTACCACGAACACCTTCACCGATACCATCATTTTCCTGAAAACATAAGCGAAATTATGTAAAATATACAGTTCCAGAAACGCTCTTTAGAGTTTTGCTTTATAATTCTTTAAAGAAAAAGAGTGTTCAATTGGAATTTGGAAATTGTGAATAGTTTCGTACAAATTTGTATTCAAAAGTAATTGCATGTGCATAAGTTTACTTTCTGAATTAATTAAGTTTGAATTTTACCAATTTTCACTGGTATTGATGTAACTATATATCGATATGGAAAACGCATGTTTCTGTATATTTTTCTTACTTGACACAAAGAAATGTAATAACAACTTTTAAATTCAAAAGCGGCGGGATATTTCTGTGTTTACATTGAGTTCCAGAACACACGGACAAAAGATTGTGCAAAAGATTCTAAAACTGACAGAGGAGCCGACATAACTAGACATGCTGGCGCCAACTCGGGCGATGGAATTATTGCATGTATGGCTTCCAAAAAATGTATCAATATAGTAATCAGTAAGTTAAAAACAAAGTATTTATTTTTCTATTTATCGTGCACAAGTTTTGTCAACTTTTGAAATTGATAGTACTTGCATGTTTCCGAAAATTCGATAAGACTGTCCTCATGCAAATGCTCACCTGAAGTGCTGGTGTTTTTGATCGATCAATGGGTTGAAGTCGCAGCGACGGGTTTCTAAACAGAAAAAACACAACATGTTACAATTGCCTGATACTATACTGCGGTATGAATAATAGGCTTATTATGAAAATCTATTTTTACATAACCATTATTAATATCTATACTTTTAATCTTCGATTTCATCGAAGTGTCAAACACAAAGGAATACGACAACTGGGACCAGTCAAGCTCATGTGACCCTCACAGACAAAGAAGCTAATAACATATTACAAGCGCTCGTTACCTCCGTAGCGTTTTAGCTGAAGACATCCTTGAGTTGATGTGTTGATCAGAATTTCTCCAGCTCAACAATCTCCCCAAAGAACTTCGAGTCATGATGGCACTGCTTGACTCTGGACGTGTCTAGCCGGAAAAATTGTGATTTGGATATTATAACTAAAACCTCTATATATACCTCTCAATACCCCAAAGCCAAAAATAAGATTCTGTTCACCATGGCAAAGACAAGGTTTTAAAAGTACAAAAATGCACTGCATGCATATGAGTTTCAGTAGTGAAATTGTAATAGGCCTATAGATTAGTTTATATGGTTGAGATTTTCTCATCTTATATATGCACTTAAGCCTTTGGATAAACAGAATATTACGCCTATGCTATGCATGCCTATGGCTATGGTTGATTGTCGATAAGCATGCATGCGAATCAACCTAAACTGGTTGAATAGCTATATACAGTATGCGTACATAATTTCCACACATTATGCCTTATTCATTCACCTACCTGGCAAACTGGTGTCCCTTCCCGACTTTCACTACAATAAGAAAGAACATAATCTTGAGTATCCAACTTCACTGTACAGTATTTTTTATACAGATTTTCTCCGAGCTTATAGCCTCTAATTATTGATATATATAAGGCACTATAATAAAATAATTGATAAAAAAAAAACTTCACAGTATTTATAACACAATTTTAACCTTCTCCGAAATATAAACATCGATACTGACAATAGTCAATACATGTTAATTGTTATACTAGAGGATATCAGTCTACTTACTAAACTGTTGTTCTCTGCTTCAGAGGTAGCGACCGTATTGTAATTAAGTCATTTAGCCCATTCACATCCGAGGACTTTATGCCGGACCTCAATCGAACCTTAAGAACAAAATTTTCATTTTAAGCTATACGTTTACTCGGGGGCAATAAAATTCACTGGAAATTTATAGTAAAAAAACAACAAAAATTTCCCAGCAAATTATCTGTAATAATACAATAGCAAAGGCATACTTATAACAAATGAGTAATCTTTTTTTAAATTGTAAATTAATGAGGCATGGATAGGTTCTTTTTTCCGTGCCTTATTGCAGTACTGTCTTAAGACTCTTACTTGATACGTCCGAGCAAAAGGGTCCCTCGACGCTGGTCTTGAATCCATACTTTCACTTTCTTTGATTAATTCAGGTATGAACGGCTGCTTCTCAGATAAACTACCTGGGGATGGTATGAATGTGAATGAGATTGTGCGATACTTTAGTGGTTCTTGTCTTCGCACGAAGGTAGAACAGTGGTTCTCGATGGGAAAGTTTTGTAAAGCATGTAATAAATGCGGATACAAAATACCGAATGAGCAGAAAGATAGAGTTTTGAGACCTGCTGTCCTGCTAAAGCTGAAACAGCACGCATTTTAACTTGCCTATATCATACGTACAGTAGTAAAAAAGGTTATGTACCAGGTACTTGAAAAAAGGAAAATGCCAAATTATACAAAACACTTTCATATCTATCTTAATTAATGCTGTTATGTTATGTTACGTTACGTCATGTTATCCTTCGATTATGCCGTAAAAACGTCTTATTAAAAGCTTGAAATAGTTCATAAATAGTTGACTTTTTAACCATTTTGGCTTTTAACATTTAATAATAAGAATTTTTACCAGTGTAAAGCATAATCGAACGATACTTTGATAAATGATTAACAATACAGTCCTTATTCAGTAAAACAATATGGTTGAACACGTCAATCATCAATCATTATGGCAACCATTGCGCCTTGCGGCATCTCTACTAACACATTGTGGCGAAATACATGCACTACTGAATATTAACGTTCCAAGATCCGAATGCATTTTAGTTGTAATTATACTAACAAAATTTACCTCGTAAAACATTTTGCGAGTAGAGAGTAAGCAGATTTCTTAACCAAAGTATAATCTACATGCAAAAAGAAGTATGGTTAATTCTACTGTATAGCTATATCCATGCAATGCCGTAACTTAACGATTGCCGCTTGATGGCAAGACTCTTTGCAATTTCATTTTGTAATCTCTGAGTTGAGATAATGTTTAAAACGCAATAACAAACCTCTCCCCAAAGCTGGTCAAATATTTGACTTAGGATAGTATCTGTGGCAACAGCATTCGGAGTGACCGGTGGATACCCCATGTGATGGCGGCTTTTGGATAAAGCTTTCTTCTTGAAATCTTCTGAACTGCAAGAAACATGACCAATATTAATATATCCATAAGAAACGTTATTGAAGTTGAATCCCATAATGTACAGTGAGGGAAAATGAAATCATTGAACTTTTTATGTAACTTTGGTCTTATCCTATTAAAAATTGAAAATACTGTACCAACCAAGCCAACACTAGAGAAATAATGTTTACTTGGTATTGTGCATGCATAAGATTTTAACTCAATCATTTACTGTAAAAGAATACCTTATAATTTCGAGGGTCAACTCGAAAACGAGACACAGTAATCAGAGTGAGTTTATTGTTCACTGTATGTCTTAATGGGCTTTGCGCTCAGGAAAAAGACCCAGCTAGGGTACGAGGTTGGCATATACGTGAATTTCGTATCATTTGCTCACTCCTGTACAGCATAAGCATCCAGACAATTAAGGTTGACCACCACTCAAATCACTATGAAAAAGCTTAGTGAAACCAACCAATTACAATTGACAATTGTTAAACCAACCTCCATTAAATATCCAGTCTTTCCCAAGTTGAACAACATTTTTTAAACCCAGTAGGGGTATTAAGATAATAATACACACTCTTACCTTCCTGAGCTGTCAAATGCAAAGTACTCTTCCACACAACCATCTTCAGCGAAAACCTCTTCTTTGTATTCTAGATTTAAGTAATTTACATAATTTGCAGTTAGCTGGCAACATTCTTTTACAATTTATGGCCATTAATCAATTAACTTATTGGTAGTACTTTTCCAGGAATAAGTAAATGATTTCCATTAGGAAGAAAATATAAAAATGCCATTAAGAAAATGACAATCCTCACCTGTGGGTGCAAACTCGTCCCCTCCAAAGATCGCTTCAACACTATTTCCTAGTACAGCAAGTCTACATAAAATTGAAGATTGTATGTTTGACTTAATTCAAAATGAAATACTAGTTGGTAGTATAACTAGTATTGTATGAATATCTTACGGTTCTATTCCAAGGTGGTATAAGTATCAATAAGTTATTCATAAGGCATGTACAAATGAGTTGAATAGAAGCAATTCAAACAGAAAGGAACTACAGGTAACAGGTGCATGCAGAACCAGACAAGTTAGAAACTGCACTGTAATTTACCCTTGAAAATCTTGCATGTATCCAGCAAGATCCTCTGACTCCATGTCAACAACTGTTGTTTTAGGTCGGTAATCATACACTCTTGGATCATCCTCATCTAGAGCTACAAGTTCTGTACCAGTGTCATTCGATGGCAAAATCTGGGCACCTCGGATCCTAAAGATTGCAAATTACGTACAGTGAATCTTAATGTTTCAGAGAAAAAGAAAATATACATAACAATCAAAAGAAAAAGAAAATATAACAATTTCACATCAACATGTTAAAAAATTTTTATATTTTTTTTGAAAAGAAAAGTTTCACCTTAAATGAGGGAAACGACCACACCACTCTTCACATTCAGACATCAATGCCTCCCCTCCTTAAAATTACAATTACAACACCATATAGTAAGCACATGTCCATGAAATAAAGTCAAAGTGTAAAATTACAGTAGTAGTCTTACCATCAAAATGCTTTCCCTCATACAACATGTTATCAATTTCCTCAAACATTTTTTGGACAGATGCAGTAGCTTTTCGATCAAACTCCTATAAGAGAGAGATAAATTCATTGGGTTGAAGCCCTCTCGACTCAACAGGTAATATTGCCTGGTGTTAAACCGGGTAAAATACCAAATTCTGAAACAATTAGGGCACAACAAGGGCGCTTCATTAAAACAATATTGTATTTAAGTTTCAAACATTAAGCTGGTATATAGCTGGCCCAGATTTAGATAAATCACAATTTGAGATTAGAGATACATGTTATATGCTGTATTTAAATATATTGTAGATATGCCAGCAGGTCACTCACATTATCATTTCCCCAAGAATAAACACTACTTCTCCCAGTTAATGTTCCCGTAGTTGTAGACCAAGCATGGCTTGACTCTGATGGCAAGCTGCTTACTGAAACGTCTGTACGATGTGTTTGGTTCACTGGCGTTGAGCATTCACTGCTATCTTCAGATAGGTACAAACTACTTAGCGCCTCTTTAACAGTCTCAACATAGGTCATCTGTAGGGGTTCTTCGGCTTTCTCCGGAAGAGGCCGTAACAGCTCGCTATTGCCTCTTGAAAATCCTCGGCTAAACACCAAATTAGTAAAGGTAATGAGCTTGTGTCACATATTATTAGGGAATAGGACTGCATGTAGTAGACTTTGTTCAGCTAAATAATTTTCTGAAATGAATGACTGCAATGATCAATAAGTTTACGAAAAATTGCAAAATGTTATATGAATACAACTATATAGCTTGAATATATTATGTATAGTTGTCTGTTACGGACTAGCTGGCAGCTTTCTAAGGAGGTTTAGTATAAAGAATTGGCAATAACAAATCAAGTAAAATTTGAACCAGACAGTCTTTAATATACATCAGACATACACCTCTCAATAATTAACAACTCAATGTAGTCATTTTAAGTGTAAATTTTTGTTTTCAAAATAATTTATGATTCCTTAGACTCTAGAACAGCCTTCGCAATTTAATAACATTGGCAGGTTTTATAAACATTCCAGCCTCTGTACACCTTCCCATTTACCTATATCTCTTATACAGAAAAGTTTCATTCTTTTTTTTAACTGCATGTATATGAAAACATATTCCAGACATTTGTAGTAAAATATAAAAGTATGGGCAAAGTAAAATTATGAGATACATGCCCAAAATTTCATTGCCCACAATATAATATATACTGTCTGCAGTGTCTAATACTATCTAAATCACAATTGAGACACTGTATTTGCCCCAAAAAAAATGATTCATGAAGTATAATAGCTCATGTTGCAGCAATGACAAGCAAACGTTTCCCAATCAAAACCTTGACATACTGTTCAGCAACATTTGCCAAGTTACTGCAGAGAAACTAAGCATGGTTTTGCAGTAGCAGACTGCTCAGTGGAATTGGAACACGACTGTGGATTATTATAGTTACATATATCATGCCAAAACGTCTACATTAATACGAATAGGGAATTTTTCCCTCGTTGCTAAAATCATCATAGTTAAGAGCAACCCATTTCACCGTATCACTGAACACAGTAAAAAAATGAACTTATTGATTGTGAGTGCAACAGATATAAAACGTTTGTGTAGAAAAAAAAAATTCTATTTTATGCAAGATCTCGGAAAAATCTAAAACCGAGCCAAGATCACAATACAAAGGAATTAAAGGGGGATTAAGTTGGCTTCTTTTGCAGCATTCAGCGAACGTTCCTAAATAATTTTGTAAGAAACTACAGAAAAAAGTATGCCATAATGTAGACAAAAAAATTCAACTTTTTCAACAATTTGGCTTGTCATCAAAATCTTCAGGTAAGCCAAATTATGAACTATAACATGCATACAGCTTCCTAATAGTTTTTACATGTTTGCTTGGCATGAAGGAAATCCAATAAGTCGGTGTAGGATTATAAAATGTTGGGGAAGTATTAAAATCGAACATTACAAGTTTACAACGCCAAAAATAAACTTACATTTCCAAAGGCGAAATACGATTTGTCATCATCTTTTCAATTTAATCCCTGTATGACCGAACTTCGACAAATCCATGCTAGACGTAGCTTATAGTGGCCCGTGACAACGGAGCCCGTCCATATAGTATTCATATTTATATTCCACATATCGGCGTTGCAAGCAAGATCGCCCTGCGAAACCGTTTGATAATAGGAATGTGGCTTCTACATCTCGTCTCGGCCAAAAGAAAAGGCCTAATTCGAAGTTAGTGCATAATCAGACCGTTTGTTTTCAGTCAAAACAAGTATTCTTCACAATTAAACCTCCTAACCACATACACATATACAACAACTCTGACAACGGCGTAAATAGACATAAATTAAAATTCGGTCGCCATTACCCACAAATCAACACAATCAACACAAGCCGGTTGCTCGCTTCTGATTGGCTGATTGGCTTGCGTCCGGTTATTTTTAGATCGCAAGATTATGGGAAAATTTCGGTTGCCAAGGATGCAAGGATGCCATATGGCCAGGTTTCAGGAATGGCTTGAAAAAATTCTTTCAGCCTGGTTCTATGAAAGTTCAGCAATATTGAAATATGAACACATTTTGTGCATACGCAATGCTCGATCAAGACTTGCGAGTTCCGGAGTTCATTTTCCAAAGGGCAGGATGTTAAAAGGAGAAAGGAAATTTTATCACTTCACAACAGCTCATGATAATTAATGAAATTTATATAAATAACGTTGTTTAAAAAAAGCGCAACTCTTGCTGCCCTGCATCGGGATAAGTACATGTACTAATTCTGCTTCTTAAAATCTACATTATCGACTAATTCTATGCGACCAGATTATGTAAGAAATGTATTATATCCATACTCACAATGTGCGTATAGTGAATATATATTGTAAATATCGCATTTTATCACTGCACAAAATCTCTTTTAGGACGACATAGTCACATAGACCCCATGCACGGACCTATCATCGGCACAAATTAGTAATCATTGCACCTATAAAATAATCCCTGCTTCAGGAAATCGCCTTCATGTTGGTCGGCACCGGATACCGAGTTCTAGGAGGATTTACACGATCCTGTAACTACTTTTCATCAACGTCAAGGCGTTTTTTGTAAATATTAGCCAGTCGTTATACCACATTTGATGAGAACCTTTTAGCCTTTTTAGTACCGGTCATGGGATAATGACTGATGTTCATAGATATATACAGCTCAGTAAAATAACGAAAAACAATGTCGCCATCTGGTTAATGTTTATTCGTGTGGACGCTTAGGAAGAGCCAGAGCCTAAAGGTCGACACAGACCGCACGCGAATTGGCAACGCGGCGCGAATTTTCAACGTTTTTAATTTTTCAAAATCAAATAAATCTTAAACTATCATAATATTCTTGTAGATTACATAACAATAAAACATTTTGACTGCTCTAGCGTCCATAGTTTCCAAATTTTACTTCCAGAATTTAATTTATATGCTTTTGAAAACTGAAAATTCGCGTCGCGTTGCCGCATCGCGTCCGGTCTGTGTCGGCCTTAACTCTGGCCCAGTCGCAGTTTGGAACTTCAACGCCTAATTCATCAACTATTCACACAAAATTTTAGAGCCTGAATTTAATCTAACCTTTATTCTAATTAGCTGAAGGGTTAAATTATTAGGGGTTATTATTAATAATATAAAAATATCGGTTTTGCAAACTCTGTAAGTTATAAAGGGTTAAAGAGGCCGTCGGCGCAAATGCGTACCTTGGTTGCTACCTAACATTATTCTGGTTCTCTATGAATTCAAATCAATTCGATCATTTTTCATTATTAAAGTTTTCGAAACATCGGACAAAATACAGGTATCGATTGCATCTGGCGCCCCCGTCAGCACTTGGGCACAACGTCGCTGACCGCCTCTTTAACCTAGAGAAAAATTAATGTTGATAAATTATTTCTTCTTCGGAATTGCCAGTTACTGTTCAGTTGCTATGACTGCTGTTATTTTCATCATTCAAAATTACCCAACCATGTATCTTGCACGCCTATAGTATACTGCTATACGTTGCATTGTCTCGAAAAAGACTAGATTAGAAGGTAACAAACCATTAACAAAACTCTACACGACAAAGGGAGATACAACTACGCCCGTTAAAAAAGGTACACTCCGACATGTCCAACAAGACTGGATACATGCATGCACCAACCACCATACTGTCTTGATTTGTAGAAAAATGCTTTTCAATAAATTGGGACCATTAGTCATCATTGCTCAAGGCAAACATTCATCGACTCACTTCCACCTAGCTAATTTCTCACAACAAACATTCATCGACTCACTTCCACCTAATCCTAGCAAACCATGTATTCTATTAACGATGGCTGACCCGGCCAAAGTTAACAGGTTTAGCAGAGTTACCCATGCAGTCAACCAATTTTAAACAGTTGGAGAAAACCAAGTTACGTTTTGACCAAAAATGTTGGACGATGTTGGAATGCTTTTAACGGGCTAAAGACGCAAGCTAATATATTAGTGTGCCACTAAACTACAGTAGTTTGTTTGTCATCGTCCAGCGTTTGACGCAATCAAATGTTTCCGATTATATATCCACATCCTCCTCCTGCAAACGTACTGTCACAAAAGAAACTTCACAGATTCGTAGCAGCGCCGTTGTTTGTTGAGAGTCTATTGACCTCGTTGGTAATCGTCATTCGATGACCCAACTTTTTCACACCTAGTTCGCGTAGGTCTTCCTTAGTGAGACCTAGGAGATTCGACCCCCGGATATCGTTCTCTCGGAACAAGTCACCATGTTCCGCCATACCGATAGAGGCCAGCCAATCACAAACGTGCGCACAGGACCAATTCTCGTAAGGCGTTTCCAGGAAAGATGAACTGAAATTATAGGATAGAGAATTTTAAAATCGAGCTAGCACACCCAAAACCTATATACCGAAAAATGAGTCAATTTAGCTAATAATAAGTGTTGCGCAACCAACAGCTAAACTTATTGGTTTAGCAGCTTAATTGAAGCGACCTTTGGGTGGTTTTACAATTTCTGTACTAGCAGTGTATCGAGAGTCAGTTTCAAAAAATGTCAACATGCTGGGAACAAGCGATACAAACACAAGGACATCCAGTTAATAAATAAGTAATACCTATCAGTGGATGCTTCCAACTTCACTGTTTGCAGAGGAGCCTGCTCCTATAAGGAAAATAGAATTGGCAAAGTTATTTCCTTTTTCAGAACGGTCAACTCAGAATTATGACTAGAATTATGACTTGTACTAATATTTTTTGTCGTTTTGACACTAGTTCCGAAGGCGTGCGATTTAGTTGAAGATAACTGCTTAGGGTAATATGAATTGAGCACCCACCGCGAGAAAACATTGAAAAAAGGAAAGCAATCAAATTCAACCGAATTAGGGCTTACAAATAGCTATTTCACAGCTAAATTCACAGCCTTTGTTTGTGTAGAATCTTTGCCCTATATTTTGTCATGTTTAGTGGTCCACGGCGAAAATGAACTTAAGACAATGAATGGACTTATTGCACAATGAAGCAATCGTATAATGGAGTTAAATTACCATTTCATCATCGTCGTGGAGCAAATTACGTCGGCCTAGTGTGTTTAAATTGAAATAGATTGATACGGGCGATTCCCAGCATGACGAATGTCAACTGTCACCAGAAAACAATTGTATAACGACAAAGAATTCTTCGTTGCTAAACAAGCCACTGTCGAAGGCCTCATTTCAAAAACCCATAAGAAGGAAGGGACCTACTAACCTCCTTATTACCAGCATTCGCAGTCGGTGTTTCCACTACATTCTCATTTTGATCCTTTGACTCTGGAAGTGCCAGCACTTCCTCGGTTGGGATGACCTGAGAACTGTCCTCATTCGCCGGACACACGACTTCACTTGACTTACCTGTGTGTTAAAAAAAATTGAAATGCTGACACAAATCTAACGAGACATGTGAATGAAATCGCCATACACATCGTGTGAATTCACTGACAGTCTTACCTATGGCCGAGTCTTCAGAACTGACTTGGCTTTGCGAATTTCCATCCGATGGTTGGCTCAGATTTTTGCCAAGATGGCTTTCTTCTTTGGGAGCTATTGAAAATGATTTTGGCTGCCCTGTTTCGACTTGTTTTGATTGTTCTGAAAGTAACTTCGAGACATCACTAGCCTGGGATTGTGCAATATCTTTTGAGCACTGTTCGTTAGAGTCCATTGATACAATGGATCCGTCCTTCTTTAAATCGATTTCTTGCTTCTCTGACGTAGATGTATCACTTGTGTCTATGACTTGTCCATTTGTACTGTCCGAAAATACAGGAGGGGGAACAACAATCTCCGACGACGGCGGACGATCTAAGCTATTCTCCGTGAACTCATCTGGTGGGGGTAGCGTACCCGAGGCGAACTGTGGGTCTTTGTTGTTGGGAGAATCCTCCTGAGCAGAAGGGGTCACTGGGGCAGGTGGAGAACAGGTATATGTTGCCTCCTCTGACTCATTTTGAGGCAAAGGTTCTGGAATAGATACAGGCGGGTGGACTTGATGTTCCTCGGGAACAGAGGTAACTTTATCCTCAGTCGAGATAGGTGTTGCTGATGAAGACAGAGGTTCGTTCGAAGATGAAACATCCTCCTGAAATGCTACGGGGGGTGGTAAATGGGAGGGTGGGGTACTTTCAACATTAGGTTCTGTAGGCTGTTCGTTATCCTCGATTATAAAAGGAGGTGGGGGCGAAAATGCCGGTGGTGGGGGAGGGTTGAATTCAGATGAGTCTGGTGTGAAACCTGGAGAAGTGGGAGGGGTGAATACTGGGGCCGGCAATGAACTTTCATCAATAAATTCCAATGGTGGTTGGGCTGGAGGCGGGGGCATTTCTGAACCTCCAGGAGAAACTAATTCAAGTGGTTCGGGTTGCTTGGTTATTACTTGGGTCACTGTTTGCGTTTGCTCGGAGCCGTCCGCGTGCTTTTCGGTCACCAACGTAATTTTGTAAACGTACTTCTTTTTCCCAGACGCCGACGACTCGGGGATGATCGGGGAAGTGTCGTCGTTTGTCGTCGTCGTTCCGTCAAATGTCGTAGCAGCTCCGTCCACGGACAGAGGAGAAGTGTTTTCTGACGAGGGATCTTTATCCTTCCACGACGCAGTATCCCAATTCGACCGTTTAACCTCTTCATTTATGACGTCATCCAGCAGCTGGGTGGCCACCATCTCAGGGGACAAAATAGGGGGTGGTAGTGCCGAGGTTTGTGTTGGCGTCATAAGAGGCAAAGATTTCGGTCGAGACGCCGGCCCGACGCTGTCACTTCCAGAATCTGAGGTAATCGATGGGGACTTCTTTTTCGGTTTGGGTAAGGTTTTGGGAGGGGCTTTCCCGTGAGGTAACACTTCCGACGGGGGTGATTTTTCGCGAGGTGGATCAATCGGCGGTTTTACCCTGGAAACTTTACCCGATGGAGGAGCAACCGGAGGTTTGAACTTCGTTGGAAGAATAACCTCGTCACTCAAATGTAGCTTTTTTAATTTTTCTTCAATACTCAAAGTCGGCGGTTCTTCAACAGAAGACCTCGGCTCCTTCGGGGAATTAATATTTAGGTTTTTCACGTTTTCGTAAATGTGGGTGTCTTTTTTAGGCGCAGTAGTCATTTTGGCTGCACGCTTTGCAACCGCCTTGGCAAGCTCGGAATCCAAACCCCCTTTCTCTTCGGGAGGTTCTTCCCCCTCGGGAAATGGTTCACCGCTGGACTTCCTATACTCGAAGGTACGGCGTGGTTTTGTCGGGATTGAAGAGGCAGGGGCGGTGTTACATCGTCGTCTCATCATTTCCTCTTTGATTGATTCCTCCAAAGATTTCGCTTTGGGTGGGTTAGGCGGAGCCTGGGTGGGTGCAGGGGGGAACACTGGTACGGGCACACCTTCGTGACCAGGTGAAAATACGGGCGAAACCATTTCATCGGTACCCGAAGAAAAACCCCTTGATTTTCGTTTTTCCAGCGCCTGCGATAGCTCAGGTGAGACGGCATCTGTGTGGACGAACTGTCTATGAGGCACCACAACTGGTTTAAAAGTAGACAATCGTTTTTGAAGTCCTGGTAGCGTATTCGGCCTATTTTGTTCGCCTTCGATTTGGAGGTTTTCGTTTGGTGCTTGGGCGATGACTTCACCTTCGTCTCCAGGCTCCTCGCTGGGTTCGGGTGGCTCTTGGGAGGCAGTGGCCATGTAATCCTTTTCTTTCTTCTTTCGAAATGAAAACCGTCTCTTCTTATCTCTTTTTGAGTCCGTTCTGGAGACATGCCTCGAGTCATCACTTTGCCTAGGAGTTGGCTGTTCCCGGGGAACAGGGGGAGAAACGGGAGGTGGTTCTGACGGCAAAACCTTCGGCATCCACGATTTTGGACGGTCCCTTGCCGTTCGAGCTGAACCAGTTCTACGGCGGGTAACCGCCGAGTCATCTTGAGTTACATTGCGGCGCGCACTCTCTCTTTGCTTAGAAGGCAGGGTCATAAACCCGGTATTGTCCAAGGAGTCTACCGGGTGGAAGTTCCGCGTAGGTTTTTCGCTTGATGGGCTTGCATGAGGGCTTCCAATGATGGCACCGTATGAGCTTTTTGGTCGCCGTGGTAGGGAACTGTAACCGCTCAGCGTCCACTTCTTGTCGTTCGAGGAAATGCGTTCTCTGGGAACGGATATGACACGATCTTCTTGCACAACGGGTGCCGTCTCATCACCGTCTGAAACGGACAAAAAGGTTGATAAAATTTCGAGTAAAAAAATTCGAGTAAATTGACGATAAATGCGATATTTCGTGCTTTAACAATGTTTAGAAATTAATTTGTTTAAAAATACTAAACGAAAAACGGTTGGGCATCTCTCTTATAAAAAACGACAGTGCAGTCAACATTACAATGAAAAATTTTGCATCGCCTTGTGTGAAAGCAATGAAAGTAATTTCAGCTACAAAAAGTGTTCCTCTTGCATCCTCCAGGACTATCACATCAATCAAATTTGTTGAATGATTACTATTTATATAGTACTTAATGAATATCCACAGAGCCGTAGCTAGGCGGTTAAATTGGGAGGAGGGCATATTCATGAGGGCACATAATGTTTACACACCATAGGAACAATAGCTTTTCAAAGAAATCATTCGGGCATTAGACGAATATATGTATATTAAAGGCTAGTTTCCACTCAGGAAAATTCTCCTTTGGATCGGACAGGACAGGAAGGTTTCCTTTGTATAAACGCCGCCTGAGAACTCACCAACGAAATTTTCCTGTCCGTTCCGATCCAAAGGAGATTTTTCCTGAGTGGAAACTAGCCTTAAGATCAAATTAAGATCAAATTAAGATTCTGGCTACTGCATTGACTATCACTATCGACACTTAACTCATTGTCATTTCATGATGTGTTTTGCATACCTGACAATCTGGGTTTGTTAGTAGTCAACAAGGTCGTAGGCGCCCTCGATGGGATTGGGGGCGCTTTCTTGTTGCTAGGTCCATCGGCATGACTGGTCCCATTAACGATCACTCTGGAATGCCTTTCTTGGTTCGCCGAGGTCGGAATTGCCGTGGGTGGCATCGACGGGGGTAGGATTTCCGAGGGCGGGGGTTGGTTCGGCGGGGGGCTTCCAGAAGGCGCTGGCTTGGCGACACTGTTGCTTCCGGGTTTGACGAAATGTTCGCCATTATCTACGCAGAGCAATTTCATGACGAGCGTTTGCCCGGTTTTTCGTATCAGACTTACAACGTGGCGATGGCTGGCAGTTCTGACGTCGTTTCCGTTGACCTGGGAAATTCGAAAACTTGTTAGTACGACTGCGCTAGCTACCTTCTTAGCTACTTTATTTACACGAAAGCTTCAAGGCACTAAGTAATTTATTTCAAAAATTTCATGTTCAGTACTTCAAAACAATTTTTGTGTACGTATATTTAAAATTGTCGTGCGCAAGTCAGTGCAAAATTTGTAAATAATCTCTTTCCACGCTACTGGAGATCAAAAAAGCCAACCAAATGCTTGAAGAAATTGGTTAATTGGGGCAGTGATCAGATCAGAAGATTGAAGCTTCTCTTTGTTTATCTGAAGAGATTATGCGACGTGCATGAGCCGAAGTGTGAAATCAAAATACGGGACGGGGAGACTTTTGAATGAACTTTGACACTAAGTGAAAAATTGAAAAATGCCGTACTTCTAGGATATAATCGCCTTTCTTGACTCCACGCTTGTCCGCCTCACCCCCCGGTTCGACATCCCCAACATACTGAAGTGCTGGTATCTTCGCAGACGGCTGGAACTCTAGTTTATTCACGGCTGGTACTAAATAAATGGAAATAATTCATTCCGTTTAAAAATGCAACAAAATGCATGGGTTGTGTTAAGCATTAGATAGCTAAATATCGTACTTTTGTTTACATGAAAATTTCTAGAACATGATATAGCAATGTGAATATATAATATTATTGAGAAAGACTTGAGGGAATATCGCCAAGAAAATTTGTATGGCTTTTATAGGCTAGTTAGTTCGTACAGGCGAATTGCGAGCTGCATTTTAGTCCATCGGTCCATCAATCCAGTTAGAAAATCAGATCTGTGTTGAAGACTTACTGTTGGCGCCTCTCATTTGAAATCCGAATCCCGCCTTGACTTTGTGTAAGATGACCTGTCTTGGTTGAGGTGCCATTACAACAGGAGGTATTATAGGCTGGTCCAGACTAGTGTTACTGAAAGCAAGTGCCAGTAGAAAAATGGGTATTTAAACAGTGTTAAAGTATATAATACGGATGTATACGCTCACAGGGAAACACTTTTAGAATTTAAAAACGCCCCGTTAACAAGCCTAAAGGTCGATTGATCATGAAATATAGTGTCTGTTTAGGTTTCATATTTTGCTCTGAATATTTACTTTGTATTTGTGACTATATAACGAATACGACGAATAAAGACATGTAATATCTAATGAGAAACCCGGCCTTAATTTTCCTTACCTTTTGTTGAGAGAACTTCCAATCGAAGAAGGTTTATGCAGAGAACTCTTTGACTTTTGCTTTCCTAAAATGTAGTAAATATTCCTCAAAAAAGGCATCATAATATAGCGCTAAATAAAAGTGAAGTTATAGTGAACAAATTTTTAGCTCTTTTGTACAAAGCGCGATATCTCTATATTATATTCCTTTCTCGACTGAAAAGGTATTGACTTTCGGCGCGTCTAGTATAAAAAAATTCTTCCTAAGTTTCGCAATTTACGACATTTTGCTATTACGAGTTTCCAATTTGGATGGTTTTTAAAGCCACGTGTTAAAATAAACAAGTTTACGAGCTTTTTTAAAAATGTTCTGGAGCCAATAGTACGTTGTGGGCATAACAAAAGAAAACTGAGACAAGCATCCTTGCTGAAAAGTCACGGTCAGAACTACTTTTTTTTTAAAAAAAATAAAATACATGCAAGACTTTAACGTACTTTTCTTTAGATCTTCCACGCATTCTGCTGGAAACCAGCCGGTGTTTCCCGCCACTGATCCTTGCCAATAACCTTTCTCTCCCTTCGTTATCACTGTGAAGCAAATAACAGAACATATATATGCATAGACCAATTGCGAAACTTAGTAACCGCGCCTTCGCATAACATGGAAGCGAGGCTTATTATGCAAAAAACAATATTTGTATTTTTTGCCGTACAAAGCTATCCGCCGAGTTATATCCCGGTTTTCGCCTTTGGTTTACATATTTTTCGATACCTTTAAAGCTCGGTTTCATCGTTGTTATCATAGTTTTAAGGTGAGGGAGTTTTGCCTTTCATTTGAGGCGTTTTTGTGATGTTTTCATTAATTTTTTCGGCTGCTTTCGTCGGGGAAATATGGAAAAGACCGGCACAAACTCAGGTAAAAATTCAGTTTTTCCAAGCTATTTCGTCTCAAGTCTTGAAAATTTATTTCATTTTTCTTCCTCTTATTTGTGCAAAATTTGGCGATATATATTTGGTGCAAAATCTATGTTTTTGTGACAAGGATTATTGAAAAGTCACGGTCGAACCACCACCATGTTTACATTTCTCATTTAAAATTATTTTACACCAATTTTATCGATCGATAAGCTGTAATTTCACAGCAATTTTACAGCTCAGGAAAAATTAGAAGAACTCTGTTGACAGAAACAATCGGAGATAAAATATACAACGGAGTTTTTTGGTTTATTTTCCCTGTGTATATAGACTACAGTACATGTGATGTCATGCCGACTCAAAAGCAAAACAACTCTTCAACTTGGCACACATGCATGACATGGATAGTAAAATACTTATTACCAAGACATAATATCATTCTCTATTTTGAATTACCATTTAATATTTCTTTTCCCACAATATCATACTATAAAGGTAGCCACAATGCGAGCAGCAGCGTTTTTTAAGATATGCCTTTACATGATGGCAAAGCCGAAGGCGAAAAAAATATACAACCCCGAAGTTCGGAAGTGTTTTCCGTTTTATAATGCGATGGTGAACGGAATCCTTCCTTTTAAAGTATTCCTGGTTAACCCTTATTTAAAACATCTATTGCATGGTAGTAGATAGAAAGAATAGTGTTTTGTAGTGACACAAAATATACAGAACGTCAGATGCGTTCGAATTCGACTTTTAAATAAAATTCGGCCTTCATGTCGGTATGCAAGCCATGCATCGTCTGTACTTTTTTAAAACGAAATAAACAAAAACATTTCAGCTAGTTACTTTTTGCCATTTTCACAGTATTACTCTGGTATAAAGATAAAAAATATAGTGATATTTGTGAATAAATTTGAACCATTTCAGTCATTAGGTGTGAAATTATAAAATCTGACTGTCACTTTTCATTTAGTTTTCAACAATTTTTGTCACAAAAACATAGATTTTGCACCAAATATATATCGCCAAATTTTGCACAAATAAAAGGAAGAAAAATGAAATAAATTTTCAAGACTTGAGACGAAATAGTTTGGAAAAAACTGAATTTTTACCTGAGTTTGTGTCGGCCTTTTCCATATTTCCCCGACGAAAGCAGCCGAAAAAATTAATGAAAACATCACAAAAACGCCTCAAATGAAAGGCAAAACTCCCTCACCTTAAAACTATGATAACAACGATGAAACCGAGCTTTAAAGGTATCGAAAAATATGTAAACCAAAGGCGAAAACCGGGATATAACTCGGCGGATAGCTTTGTACGGCAAAAAATACAAATATTGTTTTTTGCATAATAAGCCTCGCTTCCATGTTATGCGAAGGCGCGGTTACTAAGTTTCGCAATTGGTCTATGCAGTTGACGAAATTTGTAAATCTGTTCAGTGACCAGTAGATTGTTGAAATAATAGCGAGTCGGTCTTTACACATACATAATATACAATCATTGCTAAATAGGCTGGAACGAAAGCGATTGCTGGCTCGTGTGAACAAACTCCCTCCCCCCCCCTCCAGTTAATAAATGTTGCTGCGACTGTAACAACGTTCTTATGTCAATGATGGTTAGAAAGGCACGATAGACCAAGAACTAATTGGAATTTAAGGTCAGTTAAGCAAGAAAAAACATGAAACTGTGACTTTTAGTTAACGTCTTTTCGAACAGCGTGTTACACTCTAAATACTGAGAACCTTGAACCTAGAATAAGAGGTACCCTTCCGTACGTGTATACGCTTAAGGTAGTTTTCATTTTTTTTACACTGCAGGTTACGTTTCGTACGCAGCGAGTGTCTCGAAATGACCCCCCCCCTAAAACGTACATATTCTCTTACCTTCAACAAGATCGCCCTCCGCAAGGGACAACTCCCCAGCTTGCGTGGGAGTGAAGTTTGTAACAGCAACATAGGTCTTGCGCGAGATATTCTTACCAGGAGCGGGTCCCATGTTTGCGGCTCCCTTTACCTCTTTGACCCGAGGAATAGTCCCTCTTTCCTCTTTGTTCAGCGAAGACAGGGAGTATGTCCTCCACCGTAGGGTAAGTTCATCGGAGGTGGGTGAAAGAAGAGGAGTGTTCACGCTTGAGCCCCCTTCGTCTCCGGAATCGGTCATATAAGAAGAGTCTGACCCCGACCCACTGAGAGTGCGCCTTCGTCGCGGCTTTTTGGTCGGGGTCTCAACAACCTCGGTCACATTGACCTATAAAAGAAAAATTATTTTTTTAAATGAAGTTCTCCGGCTGGTGTCTGGCGGATAGTGCCATCCAACCTTCTTATACACGGCAAAAAACGCTCAAGTTGTTCCCGGTTGATGAGAACAGCCCTCAACAACGTTGTGCTGCACCCCATGAAAAATTTTGTCAACATTGTTGTTCCACCTTGTTACGCTTAACAATATTGCAAAATGTTGTTGGCAACATTGTTGAGGCCTGCTCTCATATACCGGGAACAACTTGAGCGTTTTTTGCCGTGTAATCGCCCCCATAAGTAAAGATTTACATCTCATCATTTTGTGATTCACATTAACTTGTCTATCGACAAACATATTCCTATTTACATAAGTTACCTGAGGTATTATCTCGCGAGGTGAAAGATCAAGTGACATGGGTTCCGACGTTTCCGAGTGGATAGAAGGGGTTGATGACGTTGTACTCAGAGACTCGGAACAGAATATGAAGGTATCGGTGGAATCTCGATGAAACACGGAATTGGCCGTAGGTCGGCTCTTTGATTGTGTACGCCGCCGAGTACTGTACGTTGGCTTGTCGATGTATGGAACTAGAGATACAAATGAAACATATGTTCAACAAAGTGGTGCCTAATTGCACTTGACTAATAAGTATAGCTTGATTCTCATCTTCCTTCGACAAAGGCGGAACTAAATAACATGAAGATTACACAGGATAATCATAGAAAAGGTTAAACTCCTTACGACAACACGTACCTACATCCTTCTCGTTATAATTTCTAATAAACGCAGACAAACTTGCATTCGTTGCAACCACTGCGACCTATAAAACAATTGGAATGGTAGTAATGGATATGATGGAGGTGTATAGGTCAAGAGTCCCGATGTTGAAGGATGTATTCTTTACAGATAAGTCGATAAAGGTTTGTCATTCAAAAACCATTCAAATCATAAACATAGAACAGAAACAGCAAAGTATAGCTAAATGATGGACAATTTCTCGATTCCAGTCAGACTATGGGAATCTTTATCCCCAAAATGCTTCACGAAAATTGTCTATTTCATTTGGGGTTCGGAACAGGTTGTTTCACATCAATGTTATAAGGTTTAGGATTACCAAATGATAACCTTTATTGAATTTGTTCGGGCTTGTTGACTGATCCTTTTCAAGAGCTCAATATGTTTTTCAGAATAAATACGACAACACATTCTAGCCTGTGAATCATAAGATTGGAGTCTGTTCATATCCCTATTTAGATACACATAAAAATTATCTAATTATTATTTATTAAAGAAATTTTTCAATTTGTGCGTCCAAAACCATCGTAAAACAATTTACATTCATCACTTCGACCCTCGAAAATATTAAACGCTGCTGATCGTAGAGCAACATGCCATAGCGAAATTAGAAAAGTAGATTCATGCCAAAGCCAATCCCGTGGTTTATAGCTAGTGAACCTTAGAACCCCAGAGTAAAGCACCAAAACGTAGTGTTTGACTGAAAGATTTTTTGCTAAAACTCTAATTGAATTGCATTTTTTATTTACAACAATAAGTTCGTGAATAATCGCATCACCCCATATTTAAAATGACCAACCACGTGACTCCAAATTTTTTGGAGTATTCGGGTACGAGGTTGATCGAGTTATGTGGGCAGCCTTTTCCAATTTTTTCCCCTCCCCCCTACGAGAAGGCCCCACGTAGGAGGTTGTATAATGACCTGATGTTCTTACCATTTCAGCAGTCTGGTTTGCAAAATTCACAATGTCCCGTCTTGCTCCGCGGTAAAGAAGTAACTTAGCACACTCTTCCTGAAATGAGCGGGTAAAGCATACAACATCATTAGTCATTCAACACCATTCCTCCCTTCCCATTCCATCCTTTCATCTATTTCTCTCGCCTGTCTGCCCGATTTCTTCCTTCAAACTCTTCCACCTTTTCTGCTAGTCTTCCTTATGTACATATCCATAATACTGCTTGCATATATGTACCAAGAGTCCTTGTTTCAACGGTCTTTTACCTGATTATACAATGAACATATGTGCAATGGAGTATTGCCTGATCCATTCTGTGCATTGAGATCAGCGCCGTAGTAGATCAATTGCTCTAAATGTCGCACGAAACCATAGCGACAAACCTAAGAAAAAAAAACGTATCGCTGTCATTGGGCAAGGTACAGTGTAAAGCGAAGAGAGAGAGCAATTGTTCCATGAAAATGAAAGGCTCTAATCTAGAATCAAGTTTTTAATATAAGCATTCATTGGCTTTAAGTATTAGTAGTATAATTTGTTTTTTAATTTTACCTGGTTGGAATTAAATCCTCGTCATAATTATGGCGATAACATTAGATGGAGACGTTATGCGCTTAAAAACATACGTGTTGATCTATACCTGGTGGATTTCTTGCCATCCTTGTGAATCAACTATACCAAAATCAGCCTGATCACCAAGCAATAGTTCAGCCACATTTGGATTCTTGCCACTCAGACATGCGTGGTATAATGGTGTTAGGCCCTTCAAAAAAGTAACATAGAAAAGCAGTTTATTGGCTGTTTATTTACCATCTTATACACTGCGATTAACCAATAAGCATTAAATCGTCGAAAGATATTTGTGCATTTGAATTGCATGGTGGATAAAACTCGTTATCAAATTCAAACCCAAATCGCCCTCAATTTGAAGACACGTTAAGTTCTTTGTTGTAACGTTATTCTTCACCGATTCACATAGATTTTTACACAACGCGACGATAATATAAACACAAAAGTATAACTGCATAATTTTGACAGAACGGCAGCCACAGCGTCCTGACTTGACTCAGAGGTTAAAGGGAAGGTACGTAAGTAACTTTTACAACTCTTTACGTAGTCTTACCTTAAGATCTCTGTAATTTGGCGAGGCACCCAGATCCAAAAATGCCTAAAACGACAATAAAACATTAACTCAAACATTAATTAGAAGAACTATACTGCACAATATTCTATATTCAGTTCCACATAACTGTTGTAACAGAGGTCCATCTAACAATGTAAAGTTGCTAACTAACCTTAATATTATGCGAGTTTCCCGCGACGGCAGCTTTGTGTACAGCGGTGAGTCCATCACGATTTTTGAAATCAAAATATGCTCCGCCATTAATGAGAAACATGATCACTTCGTTTGCATTGTTCTTTACGGCAGCTGTGGTAAGAGGCGTCTCTATATTGGTGAGAAATCATTACGTCAGTTGGACACCGTTTGGCTGCACGATTGCAGACAATTATGGTCCTTGAAGCTCACCTCCAGTTTTCGTATCCAAGAAATTTGGATCCAGCCCTTTTTCAAGGAATTGGTTCACCTGACCAGCATTGTTCTGTTCGATCAGTTCCATGAGTTTCTTTAGATTCGTCTGGAAATGAAATGTATACGTTTGGAGACATTTTTACAGAATGTACATGCAGAACACCTGTTTCAGGAGATCTATGTATAACAACATATTGTTCACCGAAATTTTAATCAGTTTCAGTAATTTCTAATTATTTTCCGAATTTAGGGCAAAGGAAAAAGAACATGTGACAAAAACTACAAACAATATTGCGGGACCCATCTTACTATAAATTGTATTAATGATTTTATTGACTGTTTGATGTCCAGCGCAAAGGTTCAGTTTTAATGCTTCACAAGATATACAGCCACAGCCAAACTAATTTTTACTTTACCGTGATTTGCCTTTGTGAGGCAAAAGTTACGGTACGCACAGGTCAGATCAAAACGACGATGTTTAAAACTAGACGAGGTTTAAATAAAAAACATTCCCGTGGCCTGGCCGTGGTTCTCACTAAAAAAGGTCTCAGTTTAGCAGAGGGCAAAAAGCTATGAGCTATATAGAAGCTAAAATCAAAGCTTCAGATATGAACCGTGAAACATATTGGAAAAATCACGGTTTTGATTAGGCCTATATATTGTTTTTTTCAACAAATATCTTAATCTAATTTAATCCTATGTTTCAACTTTCAATGCCAGTCACGCCAAAAAATGAACAATCGTTTACGGAAAGCACCTGCATGAGCAAACATTGAAAACGTTGCATGGTATGTTAAAGAAGGTGTTGGAATACTCGGGCAATAATATCACATTACAAAAATCGATACCTTCGTGTGAATCTTTGTAAGTTTATTCTCGTCGAAATTGATCGATCTGTAGATCCGCCTTTTCAACATGAACTAGAATGCAAAACATCATGAAATGAACGTTTAGAAGAAATTGTGATGGCAATACGAAGTAATACTGATAAATTTCGGTGGTGGCTGAGTCCGAATAACGGAAAACAATGTTGTGAAATCCTGAGATATTCAATATAAAATATTTACTACGAACACACGAGTTCATGCAGGTGATTTTAACACTAGGACCCGACAGGCGTGAAACTGGTTCCCGCAGGCTGTCGAAAGGTCATGCAAGTAACTAGGCAGTAACTCCCTTTATCATCGAGATTACAATAAAGCCACGCATAAAAGAACCAGCGGAGTGAGGATATGTCCACGCGGACATCGTTTTTTAAACGTTTTTTTTAGAGGGATAGATAGACTGCGTGATCCATGCAAGCACGATTAAGGGATTTTTCGAGATTTTCAGAAAACGTGAAAAACGCTAATTAGCTTTCTGTACGGGAAACCGTTCCATAATTGTTGTTTTATGAAATCACTACGCTGAAATAACGGTTTAATTAACGTTCATAAAACCCCACGCGAAATGTGTGTATGCATGATTGTGTCATCCTGCACGGAAAATGCTAATCAGATTGCACGTTTCACTATAGTCAACATCAGGAAATGCATTACTTCGTTTCCTTTATCGTTTTGATGTTTAATAAAAAAAGTTAAAAAATATTGAACTTTTTAATTATACGAATAGCTCCAACGCGTACAGGAAGGTCCGCTAGAACACAAACACTAAAAAAGATTACCGTGCATGAGCACGTAGCCTATAAGAACTGAAAAACAGTGTCAATGATTGCATTCATGCATGAACTATAGCGATCTGAATTTATCCTATTTTATAGTGGACAGTACCACCGAAGCTATATATTAGCTCGACTTCTCACCTCTAGAATCTGATCACTTTCAGGAATGGAATATTCCAATAGCGGTCTCCCTTCGTCCATAAATTTTCCGGCCTTCCCCTGGTGCGGAGGCACGAAGAACCCATAGTTTTGTATGTCTTTTAACTCCTAAAATGCAATTGGTATAAAATGTATAACATCAATATTAACTTTTTTGGAACATTCTTTTTATAGGTTGGACTTTACATGAGGCTATATAGTTACCGTAGCTATAATAAGTGGTTTGTCTGAGTCAACTATCGGTCCTCCGGCAGGAATCGAACCTACGCTTTTGCGATGCCGGTGCAATGCTTTTGCCACTGAGCTACAGAGGTAGCTGACAAGAGCAACCGTGGGTAATGTGTATATGATGGTAACGCCGGGAATAGGTGCATGTGGGTAAATCAATTATGATTTTTGGCACTTCACTTCATGCAGGTAAATTTTAGAGGTTCAAGGCGTCTAAAATCGAGTGGAACTTGAATATACTTGAAAAAAGCATAAAATTAAACCGACTGGTTCAATTATTTTATTGATTAAAACACCTATAAAGACTTGGTTAAAGCAGCCAATTGTTTGGTTGTTTTTACCAAAAAGAATAAATAAAATCAGGATCCCGAGACATAACCAGAAATTCAAAACATTAATTACCATAAAAGTTCATAATGCCAGGATTTCGCAGTCAAAGATGGCTGCCTTGTTATAATAGAATTATTTATAAGGCACGAAACAAAATTTGAAATTAAAGCAACTTCTATCCTACATATTGCAGTTGCGGGCTTCCATTTAGGACGGGCAGAAACTCAGTACTTTTATGAGAATTTTTTCATATTTTTATTTTTAACAGGTTCCCCAGTAATGTCATTTCAGCAACTTGCTAACCATTATATTTCAAGGAGCTGACGCGTTGCTGAAATGACATTAGCTACTGGGGAACCTGTTAAAGGTAAAATAGAAATATGAAAAAATTGTCATAAAAGTATCCTGAGTTTCAGCTCGTCTTAAATGGAGCTCCGCAACTGCAGTATGTAAGATAGAAGTTGCTTTAATTTCAAAATTTGTCTCGTGCCTTATATAATTCTATAATAACCGGGCAGCCATCTTTGATTGCGAAATCCTGGCATTATGAACTTTTATGTCAATTTATGTCCTAAATTTCTGGTTATTATCCAACTTTTTTTCCAAATCTGGTGGAGTGAGCGCGACACAACCATATAGGATGAGAACAAGCTCAAGACACAACAGAACAAAGGCGAGAATGTATTGAAAGAAAATTCATTTCACTATTTCAGTTAAACAGTTTTTAACTACTGGGGAAGTAATACTTTAGGGAGTCACTTAGCAACGTCCTCGCAAGTCGCAGACTAAAGGGCTCGAACGATAACAGCAATTGTTATGCATATACATACAGCTAGCGTTTGCACTAACATTAATTATTCAACTTATTTAAACACAAACTTTCTTCAAGCCTGGTTTTCATCACTCGCAGACACACAGTCGACAATGCTCTGCGATCCATTGTTGGCGACGAATCAAGAAGAACTTTTTTTTCGACAGACATAGTACCAATACAAGAACCACTGACAATAGAGATCGCCGAATGTCTGGGAGTGACAAAAACCAGGCTTTAGAAATTTATAGGTAAATAATTCACTTTGACAACGACTAAAAACAGATGAAAGTTTATGATAAAGTGAACTTCAAAATGTCGTTACAATTCAATGAATTTTTTAAGCCTCTTTTGCCGGGTTGTTTGTTATCAATGTAAAATATTAATCGTGAATCGCTAAGCCGGGCATGGTCACGTGTAAAAATTTTTTTGCCCGCCCGTAAAAACAACAATGGCGTCGATGTCTTTTCGCGCTATAATTTTGCGTATTCATTTGAGAGAAAAATGCACACGTAAGGAACAGGACTTGCTGAAGAAACGTCGTACAGGTTCTGCAATTATTGAAATCATAACTGAATAGAAATTACTGCGAGAATATAATCGATATTGTTAATTGTCGCCATTTGTCGGAATTACCACGTTTAATATATTGTATATTGTGTATTCCTCTTTGCTTTATAACAAAACACTTGTGTATATTTACCCCTCAGGAAACAGTAAGTTATGTTTTTCTTCAAATCTCGACGTTTCCCTCGTGAAATTTTCAGAAAGACACGACTCTCTCGAGGAAATACATGAAGTATACTATTGAATTAATTAAACTGTATAGCCGTGCGCAATGAATCATGGTTAAAACAAGTTAAACTGGTTTAACGCGTTGGACGAAACAGAAGATTGATGCGCTGCAGAGCCTTATTTCCTTCCTTTCCACACACGAAAATAAGGCTTCACCCGAAAGGTGCATGATTATATTACAAGCTATGAAATCAAGGGCCAGGCACTGAACGGTATAGATTGCTACCACATATTCCATTCGTTTCTCACCTTTCCTATTTCGTGTATAACTTGCTCTTTGGCGGCCCAAACTTTATCTTCATGATTAAAAGTAAACCGTTTCTAAATTAAACGCAAGGAAAAGAGCGTCACTGATTCAGTACGATGTGAAATGAATCGGCAGAATCGCACAGTTGCAAAATCTACTTTTTAACATTCTTTCTTATATGATCAAGCCATCTTATGTAAACAACGTTCGTCTTGTCACGGAGCTACAGCAAGTCCCATACATGCAGATGTGACATTTCGGGAATTCTTTCAGGTTGGGCCTTACAAAGGACCCCATGCATGTCCTGGTAATCATACCCTTTCAACTCTTTCAAATTGTATTAAATGATCTGTGCGCGTGCGGTGGTGATGTTATCTAAAAACATGCATTGGGTTGAATTATATAGCTTTTCAAAGAGCCGTCAAAGGGTGGCTTCTTCCCTGCATTTTATCCTTGGCTGACCCTGCATTTAAATCTTGCATTTAATCCTACTTGGCTGAAAAATTTTGGTGGATAAACAGGATTGCGATCGTCGTTTTCCAATGCATCTTTAGTTTTGGAGTGAAGATATACACCTATATATAGGAGGTATTCTCATCCAGGGAGGCATGATACAGTGTTTATATGACAATTTCGCGTCTCGAAATATGCTTTATCTGGGTTAATCGGTGAGATATATAGCACTTGATGGAGTTCATAATCACAAACCAGATCTTGGCAAGTCTCACTGCATGCGTCATGCAAGTGTCATGCATCACGCATAAACATACCAGAACTGAAATCTACATTCTTATCCCGACACATTGTACGATTATTATACGACAAAATCCACTCTAGATCTTACCTCATAAATTCCTTTGTCAGGTATATTGATTTTCAACACTATTGGCGAATTCGAATGGTCTATATTGTTGATCATATTTTCGAATGTTTACGATATATCAAGGAGTTGTTTTGTTAAAAAATCCAAGTGCTGTGCTTCTCCAATGTTCCAATGTATTTCGTAATTCACAAAACTTTTCATGCTCCGTGTTCTTTCTGCCTTGCACAACTCTGCAGAGACACGAAGAAAAACAAACAAATTCAACTACACAGTACATACACATGCATTCAGATCTTGTAAGACTTTCAACAGAATACAAATATAAGTGCATTTGAGAGAACAAGTTTTGACCGTCCAATATTCACACAAGCATTGACAGATCCGAGGGAAATGTGCACTCGATTAACTCCATAGCCAATTTGGGTTACAAGTTAATACATGTTACACAAGGCTGAAACGTTTTAATGGCAATTCATGAATATGCATTCCTTTCATTACATGTTTCATTTCAGTATTGCGATGTCGAACACTATTAGAATATGTATTGCATGCGTCTGTGCATCTTCCATAGTTGAATCCTGTGTCTTGTGCATGCATGCATGGTATAGGGATTTCAGGCAGTTAAGAAGATGCATGTCCAAAACCTACATCGTTGTATCTTTTTACTGTCGGATGAAAATATACTGGAAAAACTATTTTGCTAGGAAGAAAAAAACCCTTAGACCGCCTACGCATTTTGATCTTGGCAAGAATGTATCTTGAAAACAATATACACTCTTTTACTTTATCGGTGAATCAGTGAATGTGTTTGTATATAAAATACGATTTGAATAATTTTCCCAACAATTTACGTATATGAGCATGCATATCGCTGGAATCGAGACACCTATTTTTGAAAAGTATGAATAAACACATCGAAACAGCGCTGTACAAGAGCAAACATGCCCAAGGGATGTTTTTAATTCGATAATAAATCCTTCAAGATATTTGATACCGCTAAGAAAAATACGTCGCATTGCAATGTAAACAAATCGCGCAAAATTGAAGAGAAAATGTGCAAAAAATGTTAATGAGCCGTAGTCACCATATAATGATTTTTCAAGTTAATAAAAATGCTCTGACAGAAAACCTCATCACATGAACAAATATTTTGAACGATTACATATTACGAATCGTGTGTTATACTAACCCCATGATATCGGCCTACGACGATGCGAAATTACTGCTGTATGTGTGGAACGACAAGCCAAAATTGCGGATAACAAATATTCCAATTAGGCTATTCGTTTTGCTATTCAATCTATACGCTTTGTTATATTTAAAGAACTCACGAAATCATGGGGTGAGATCGTATTTCGTTTTTATATTTTTACCATGCATCATTCTGAGATATTTAGACTACGGCGTATGTAAATACAATTCAAATTACAATATTAAAATTGTTGTACCTTTTTATGGACAAAACAACAGGACTTGCGCAATTTCAATATTTACGAGATTACATGAACTTCAAATTGCCATTACCTACACTTGCGATTTATTTTCTTCTTTTGACAGATGTGAACGAGTGAATTAGTTACGGATGTTCACAACATTCATCAGAACGTTCATTAGAACACTATTGCATCATGCATCGGAACATTCGTAATTTATCAGTGAAACGAGCCATTAGCAAAGCTCCATATAGATTTAAACGAAACTGCGTGTTTACAGTTTCTTTCACATATTTCACTTCATAAGACAAACGCCTTTGGGCAATATAGGCGGAGCTGCCCAACGCTGGTGTAGTACAATTATCCCTCCACTCTCTGGACAGCACGTATGAAAAAGGTTTTAAATGAAATATCGTTTTGCACATGCACGGTAATCTGACAATGGAGCGGCAAAATACAATTAACAAAAAAAGGCTTCAACACTTTTACACTGGACTGGCTCGAAGCGCAATGCAAATATAATCCACTCGGACCGAGGTATTGTACAAAAACAATGCATGATGCAATCAATATAAAAACTGGATTTAAATCAAATACTTAAATTTTGAGGTCACTGGTCGCCATATTGGATTTGTACTCCAGATTCAGACCTCTGATTGGCTAGATCTATATATAAGCTCCTTGGTGACAGATCTATATATATCACGCGCTGACCCACTGACCCACGCGTGCTCCCCCGCGAGAGCTTCTCCACCACTCAGTGTTCTCCACTGACCCACGCGTGTTCCCCCGCCGCGCCGGGGAGGAGGCTGTATATGTACGCCCTTTTACACGACCCAATTCCGGCAAAGTTTTCTTTGATATAAAAATTTAACATTCAATTTTTTGTGTAAATGCATTTGGTTTGAAAAATCCCCATATACCCGGGCAAAATAGACTATAACAGGTATTTTAGAATAATAAAAATAAATTGAACAGCAACCGCAGTGGCGTAGCCAGCACATTGAGCCAGTGGCACCGATGATGGACATTTTGCATAATAGACAACTTATGATGTAGGTAAATGAAGAAATAAATCACCACAGCTAAAAAGAGCATACCAAGTTTGGCTGCAAAATGTCAAGTAGTACGGAAAATATAGCCGAGCGAAGTTGGCAAATTCGTATACATTTTACTAGTGTGTAACCATAGACAATCCAAAACACAGTCTTTTGGATTGTCTATGGTGTAACTAAGTTAGTCAAAAGCTTCCAGTCGTAGTAAAAAAAGTATACCAAATTGCATGGCTATATTTTCTGCACTTTACGTTATTTTGCAGCCAAACTTGGCAATTTTACTAAGTTTAGTATGCTCTTTTCGGAAATTCACCTTTTTGTCGCCTAAATCTAAAGTTGGTCAATTATGCAAATGTCCATTGGAAGGGGGCATGAAGTCGACTGCCTTTATAGTCTGTTGGGATGAATATATTCATGCATATTCTCCCCTGTTGTGACGTAATTATCGAAAAGGTCTATTGATATTTCGCAGACCGAAAAAACCAAAGACGCAAAAAAGATTCGCTTGCGACGTTTTTGGCCGGCGGCAAGAGATAATGATCGCTATTAAAACGGCTGGCATTTTTGATATTCATGCAGTTCAAGATGAAGAGCAGAAAGTCGAAATTTTGCGCACGCATCTCTTTTTGTCGGAAGACCCTCTTGTACGACAAACATCGATTGCACACACTGAATATTCACTCTCAACTGCCGGAACTCTACTTACGGTAAAATCATTTAGCATTCAATAGAAATACATTATTAGCTTAACGCACGCATTGCTGCACACATGCATGCAAGCACGCACGTCACGCATGGAAAGATTGCGAGTTTACATGACGAAAAAGGGTACAGTCTACCAGGTAAGGGTCAACAAGAAATACCCTTGGTCTTCCTGCTAAGTGCTAAGCCATTGAACTAACTGTCAATCTCTTCAAACCAACAAATATAGTATAATAATAATACGGTGTCATGAGCAGCAACTTCGAATAGTTAATGTCAAAAGGCAGAACAACTTTTAGTGACATTTGGGAACATTGCCAGGTTGTCAGTTAGACTAATTATTCAGAGCAGATGGTCAAGTCAAGTCTAGCACCAAAACTGCAGCATTCAAAGATCAGAGTAAAAAATATTGTGACTAGCATACTTTAAAGACTCTTTGTCAGATTCACAAGAAAAAATCTGGCACAGTATTGTCTGGAGGATTTGTAAAGATAAGGTTCCAGTGGTCCAAGAGGCTGATAGATCAATTAATAAAACTTGATCAATATTCAATAATCTGAATGTGAAAGTACCTTGCTTAGTTAAATAAATATACATAAAAATATACAAATCAGAATACAATTTTGTTATACTTTGAAGCATTTTAATGTAGGGTGGTAAATGTTTTTGTAGAGCTATTTAACTGTTTAATCATTAGCACTTCAGTGTGATTCATGAAAGCTGTGACTGGCAATAATAAAATATTCATGTTCAAATATGCAAATGTTCAACATTGATCTAAATAAATTGCTAACATTCACTTCATGGCTGGCTTATTTATACTTAAGCATAAATTACACCATCTTTCTTTCTTAAGTGCATCTTTCTTATTTATAAGGTGAACACGAAAGTGTGATGGTTGGATATCTTAAAAATATGCATGTTAACATAGTTCATTTTTAGCCACATGTATAACATAGCTGCATTAAATTCACATTTTGCAGTGGCATCTGCATATGAAAAGAACTATGTATTGGGGAAAGTGTAACCATTATAAAATATATATACCGGGTACTAAAGAAATACAGCAGATATTAGTCCTGTTTCAGATTCAATGCTGTATAATCCAACTTTTAATAAGGGGATTTGTTACACTTCAGATTTACCAAGGTTTACTGTCAAATTAATTGGAATGGATGAAAATAAAATCAAAGTATATTGTAATATTGATAAAATGTCAAATTATTCTCTCTGTTTACACTTAGAAGTATCACAATGTTAGGAAACACCTCAATAAGCAGTTTCTGTGTTCAGATTGTGTCATATTACAAGTTGGCATGTGTATGATACTATGTCTAAATCTTTCTTAGCAACACCTGACATTTACATAACAGAAAAATACACCAACATCCTTGTTCTAAATTGTGCCACGAAGTAGACCGAGTATATTGCTCCTAATCTAACTTTATAAATATTCAGATAAGTACTTTATTAGCGCAGCAAAACAGGATTCAATAGCACCATGCCGAGAAATAACCACTGCGGGGCAAAGCGACAAAGCTTCAGGGCCGGAAAAATTCACTATTCGAAATGACACGGAAATCTCCCAGAAAAAGTTGCAGCATACTGAGAACAATTGACACTAGAGAGCACGGTATTTTAGGAAAAGCTATGACGGTGAATTTTGCCTTTGAGCTCGCAGGAAAGACCAGACAAACTTAATTAAGAAACAATAACAGAAGGAGATCAGAATTGTATTTAAGCTAAGACGCGCGTGTTACATAAAGACTCGAAACAATTTAGAACCTTTCCATGGCCCATATATATAAACACACTGGAATAAAATTGGTGCAATATAGAAACGAAATATTGGCCTTGAACAACATAAACGTTAAGGTTTATTCGGACGCCAAATTTCACGATCTACAACCAAACGTGAAACTACAGGCGCTATTTATAGCAATGAACACGCTTTTAGGAGTTCAAAAAAGAAAACCTTCTCCTTGAGGGGTGAATGATCGTTGCTAGAAGGCACCGTACAAGCGCGCCAAAGCAACCAGACAAGAAAGGATATCTAATTCCGCTTCGAAATAAGGTCAAAATTTTGCCAGTATTTGAAATCCACTCAACATGCGTGTTCTTCTTTTAATATTGAAATTGCAACATATATTGTGACAAAGAACGACAGTTGGAATGTTCGATTTCTCACATTCTATTTCCAAATGACTTCTTCCATGTGTGTTTACATGTTCTCATTTGCATAACTCGAGACATTTTAAATTGTCTCATTCGACATAAACAAGGCTTTTTGTCCGCGAGTATTGTGGCATGAAAGGCAACTGATAAAACTCTAATTGCTTCGAAATTAGTCCCAAAAATCTCTACAAACAATCACAGTTTGTACAATCCCAATTTTACCAGTATGTTTGGATAAAAATTACGCCGACAAGAATTATAAATTCGAAGTTGTTAGAAGCATTAAACAACTGTATAATATCTGAATAGTTGTATTATTTGTCTTAATTATGCGGCAGAAACTGCTAGACAATTTAATGTATGGCAATAAAGTGAAATCCTATTTTCGCCTACGTGAAAGTTTATAATATGTACACATTTATAAACATTAAAACGAACGCTTGCACTTTGCCTGAAGTCCGATTTGAATGTTTTAATCAAATATTTATTCAAGGATGAATACCCAAACACCTTAAACATTACACCTTGAACCTAAATAAGCGAATCCACGGAACTTCGAATTTGTCTTCTATAAGCGCTGTTTCACAACGTTGTAGAGCAAAATACATCGCACAGTGCGTTTCAGTACACTAAAACTAAAATACACGACGTATATCCTACCTGTTTATGAACAAAGCTTGTTTCAATCAGTTTACCAGTGCATTTCGCCTCACAAACACGTTAAAATCAAAAGCGAAAACCCCGAGGCAGTCCTTCGGCAATAGTATAACAAATCCGTAGCCGCTTAATGCCTAAAAACCGATATATACACCATGAAACACGGTACTCTTCGAAACTTAGCCATGTTGCACGCACTGAATCCAGACTTTTCGAGTAATTTGAGATAACCGACACGTGATACGAGATTTCTTGAGTGATCTCGAAATTTCCTCGCGTGTGTCGAAACAACTCGAGGATACTGTGACACAAAGTGTGACGTCAAGAATCACCGACGAGGCTTCCACATTCTGGAAATGCTCAAATTTTGAAATCTCCAAAACAGTGTGATTTTTAGCAAATGTAGTTACAGGTAAGAAAATAAGCAATTACGAATAACAACCTATTTTCATTCTCATTTTCAATTTGCTTTTGAAATTTTATACTAATTCGAAATTGGATATTGGTACCTACATATCTGTTCTGATTGTCTGGTCCAGATTACGGCCAATCAAAACGACCGTGGTTGTTTAAATTAACGGAACAAACTAATTTCAGAACTTTGCAAATAATTAAAAATTCTGAAACTAAAAACAAGTAATTTCTCGAAATGAAATTGAAAAAATAGCAGGATTCGTCAGGCTCAGAATATACAAGAGGTAAATAAATGCTTTGGGATTTGAATGTCGATTGGACTTCGGTAATTGAAACACTGTTTCGATTACAAATTCTTGGCCGCTTACATCGTCTGAAACAGCGTTACTGGTTATATCCGAGATTCCGAGAACGAACTTTTTCATCTTAGGCATGGTTGCGATTTGCCGGAGTTTTTAGTAGCTATATCCATTTTATCTTACGATTTCATTTCAACTACAACAATGCCAATAGCAATGGTGATTGGTGAAATCAATTGATTTAGCATAAAAAAGCAACACACACCGGATGGATGTTTTTTAGTCTGTTGTCTTATGTTTATGGGCAGCAAATGCACTGAAGCCAATGAAGTACTGCGTATCAATAACGGACTACATTCCATAAATCAGAAGTGAATTGTATCCAACAAAATTGGATCGTGTGAACAGACCTTTAGTGCTATCATCACCTGAAATCAGATCGGATTCAATTTCACCCTGCTGAGTTTCCAGGAATCTCGGTCATTCTCAATAATAAATCAACCTAATTTGGCCTTCGGAATTTCAACGATGTTCTGATGAGAGGGTTTCCGAAAATAGCTTGCAGTTTTCTTCCTATTTTCAAAACCAGCACAAATTAAGCAACCAAACAAAAGCCGCGTTTCTTAATGAAATTACAATACCGACAAGTATTCCTGAAACAACACAGCGGTTTCACAGGCCTAAGCTAATTTTAATACTGTGAATCACGTGAAATTGGACACGGCTGTTTTTGCTTTGGAACGTTATAGTTATGGTATTCTCTTTGTAGGGGCGTTATCAAACAATGCATAAATTTGCCCCCTGGCCAAGATTCATTGCACAAGTCTGAAACCGGTATACCATTCATTGTGCGACGTAGCCTAGCTTGTTCTTATATTAGTTATTAACTTTACAGAAATTCAGAAAAACGCAAGACTTTAGGTTTAACGTTTAATCTTTTTCGATGGTCGGGTAATTTAGTAAAATTTAATAAGCTTTCTACCCACGCTATTTTATTGCACGTCTATATTGGTTTTTTCAGCATAAGAGCCTGTTAACCTTTCCCGTTTAGATGCTATGAGTTTTATTCAGGCAAAACCTTCTCTTTCTCGTGATAATCAATCAAATCACAGATTTTTGTATTCATTTCTTTTTTACTATGAATGTTCTAGAATAAAAACCTCTGTACAATTCCCTCCAATGATATAGCGTTTGTCAACCGCAATACATTCTTAGTTAAATTATATCCGCCCCATTATAAATCCACTGCGCGTGGAAATTTCCGCTCAAGATTGAGGACGGGTGATCATCGTTTATAACGATGGATTTATACTTTCAATCGAGTTAGCGCCTTTTAAGCTTATTCGGATTTGTTGCGTGCGTTCTCAAGAAACATTTCCGTGACGGCGTAACTCTCGTCATGAGCCGGTCGGAAATCGCTTTAAAAAAGAAATTGAAAAGCAAATTGTGCATGAATGGACACCTTGCGGGAATAGAATATATGATTAAATAGGACGCGAGCTGTAAATTTTCGATTATTATTTTTTAAGTCATCTTCAGACAGAATGAAGATTGATCAACCTCTTCAATATATTATATTTATATATTGTATTCTCAAGATATCCGGTCTAATCGAAATTTGCTTTTTACTGCTTTTTAAACCTATCGATCCCGTTATAGTTTCTCAAACGAATTGATGTCCTTACACGCTGTCAACCTTATGAATCGGATTGCTCTTGATGATAACATAGTAACGAAACAAAAAGTAATAGCAACCGGCATGGTATTGGCAAGAGTGATGAAGTGCGATAGACTGAATAATATATGAGGTATTCCTATCGATAATCGCACGCATTCTCGACACATGATATTTTGGGTCTTTCCGGCATCCGCCCTTTGCGATAACAGAACAATGTATAGCAAGAATGAAGTTAAGCGGAATTGAAAGCGATAATGACATGGTCATTAACAATCTTCGTGTCAATTGCGACGCCAACACGGCAACAGTCCGAAACCAATCATTGCCAATTCATATGCTGAAATGCGAATGAAGTGAGGCATTCATTGCTACAAATTATCCTTTTTATTTTTCAGGTAGTCTTTATCTACGATGCCAAGGTATATTATTGAATATTTTCGACACACAATCATGGAAATTCCCCTTAGGCTTAGGCCAGTAATGTTTGTCTGCAAATTTTATCCCCTTCAGTTTTCACGCTTTTCGTTTAATTTTATCGCATAATCGCAATTCTCAGCATTCAGAAATATTCAGGGCATTTCAAAACCGCAAGGTACGATTTTTGTGACAAGCGAAAGGGTGAAGTGGACTATAACGTGGACTTTAAGCATTATACAGGGAGGTTCAGCAAAGTCAAGTTCAGGTGTCCATCAAAGGCGACAGGAAAATGGTTTGCCAAATGTCCACGCCACTTTGAAACTCGTGACATGTTTGCCAAACCTCCCACGACGTGAGTTAACTTTCTTTTGAAAACAAATTTAAAAAATGAGGACCTTACAACACCACCTCAACATTATTTGGAGCTTTTGTCGCTTAATTTCAGCGATAACTTAACATTATTCTGGTTTCAATTTCATTATTATAATATGCAAATTCAAGAATAAAGACTTTTTTAAAGTCTATTTGGAGTGGTTGCCTAGAATCAGTATGCCTGAATATGGCGCTTGTGTAGTATTGCATGCATCTCCTGCGGGAATTATAATATAGCTCAGTGTCAGTAGTAGTGCTTCGTGGAACGTAACTCCAAAATAATCTCAACCGCTGTACTCTTTTTCTGATTGTAAAATTAACATAGTAGCAAAGAAGTTTGTACGAATTTTTAAAAAATGTCAGTTGAAAATATTTTTAAAAATAAATAATAATTAATATAATTATTAGTTTGAAGGTTTTACCACTTATTTTTCTCCAGGAAAGGCAAAGCAATAAAACGGAAAAATTAAATATATGTGTGGTCATATCTAAGTGAACGAGCATTGAAGAGTAACCTGCACTTGATAGGAAGTGGACAGCCCATGGCTATGTTCTCTACGATCCTTTTCCAATGGTGGAATTTTTGTACAAAGCTTGAGCAACTGGATGTGAAGATTCCATTTGCCAAGACATGCAACGCACACTACCTCCCATATGGGATAACATCTTCGTACTCACAGGTACGACCGTCTTGCTTGTGTGAGATCTGACAATCTCCAGTGCTTGCTTATCATAGTTAGTTTGACCGTATTGCGGGACATATATTGCATTATTTGTGACCAACATGTTCACATAACTGCCAGTTGCATCTGTAAATCCTTTCCACTTTTTATCAACTAAACAAAAAAACTGAATACATCTTAGAAACCTTACAGATGAAAAGTTATAGCGAATTTGGTTGGTTTTTCCTAGGTTAATATTACCCAACATTTTATTTCTAAGAATTATTGTAGCCAACTTTATTTGTGAGAATTATTGTGGTGATATTTAAAATAGTCAACAATTCCTCATTTTACAAGTTGTCTTTCAACCAAAGGTTAATGTGTGCGACAAATATGAGCAGCTGATTTTAGCATGGCATGAACTTAAGTTGGTCTAGACGACTTTTGTTTGTCAAGGTTAAACATATGCATGCACTAAATTCAAAGTGTCAACTAAGTTCCTGGTCTAAGCCATGAATTTCTTTCCTTAAACTGTTTATGCTAGGACAGTGGTCAAATATTTGTTTTTCTTGAGTTCCTGTCTCAACTTTTATTTCCGTTTATGGCAATCTTCTTGCCTTAAAGTTTCTCTCAAAGGGCAGAAAAGAGCATTTCAGAAACATAGAGAATCAAAAAAAAATTTCCATACCCCAACATCTATCTATGATTTAGTCCACACACTCTCTTTGTGACATAAAAACTGGCACATCAGAGAAGCATGTATCATGGGCATTGGCTCCACCTTTCCTTGGCGCCGGTGCCCATTTTTATCAATTGAAAAATGTTAATTATCAAACCGAGTGCGTCAGGCCATTTAAAACAAAATTAGGATAGAGACAAGCCGGGGAGCTGCCATCTGGGACCATGCTTATTTTGACAGCTTGGAACACATTTCCCCTCTCCCAATGAATTTAGTTTGCATGACCACTGAGACTTACATTGTAAATTCCTCATAGTTGTACAGCAAGTTAAATGGTTTTCTATTGCTACTGGATTTAGCACTATATTCTTAACCTTCACTAAACTAACTTCACTTCTTATATTAACAGTGTAAAATCCATCTCATGTGAGAGTCATACCTGATCCACTATCCTGCTTACCACAAGGCACCCTAAATGTTTCCACATTGGGGAATGCAGACTTTACAGCAACTTCAACATCTCTATAATATTCATCCTCATCCCCGAAGTCTGCAATTGCCAATACATTCTCTTCAATGAATGCCACTATGCCATCTGCATGGCCTGTTGTATCTTCTGGATCTGGAATAAACGCAACCTTTGCAGCTAATAAATTCTCTATTTCTTGTTGCAAAACGTGTCGTGACTTTCCTTTATTTTCAACAAAAATTCTCTCTGAAATTATAACTTTATTGCTATTATTGTCAACAACATTTCCTCCGTCTAACACAATGTCACTGCTCTTAAGAGAAATGTCCATATTTCTCCCTAAAACTTTCATAAACTCCGACTCTACGAATTTTGCGTCTTTGGATTTTAGATACTTTGGCCTGTAGCTAAATTTTACTTGGTATTTTGGCAAGACTGGGCAAAAATCTCGCATCCAAAGATCCAAAGATTCATCCACAAGTAAACATCTTGTATTTGCCGCTAGCGGTAAGGTTGAATTAGTTTTGTATCCTTTTTCTAGAGCATTCGAGTACACGACTAGAACATCGTCAAGACCTGTGCTTCTCTCGCTCATGTCACGAATGAAACTCTCGATATCCTTTAGACTTTTGCGATAATACGCATTTTCTGGCAACGAGACAACAATCAGTTGTTTTCCTTTCTTATCACTACCTAAACTAGATGCCATCGTACACAGGAGTTGTATGAAATAGAATAAAATAAAGTTTCTCGGTGAAAATTGTCATTTTAAACTGTTCTCCTTCTCCATGGTGAATTGTCTGTCACTGGTGTTTCCATGCCTTTTTTATCATTGGGTAATTTGGGTAATGGTCAATGGGTATGGTATTCATTTAATTTTTTTGTTAAAGACTTCTCGAATGCTTACATAGCTGGACGGAAAGCTATGATTTTTCCAGAATTATACCATCATTTGATCAATGTTGACTTTCAAAATTCTTTCACTGCATCATGTTGGAAACACAATAGGAAAACACTAAAAAGCACACAACTTCCGGTTTCGAAAGTTTAAAATATGGCGGCCAGAGGAGTGGAATTTTTATACAAGAAAACGTCGAAAATTACAGACTATCTACGTTTGCGAATAATAGCAAAGGCGTACGCGAGGAAGTTTCATTACTCGAGACAAGCTTCGAATGGCTTTTTAGGCGATAAAGAGAATGAATTGAGTGCAAATTCTGATAATTTTTATAAGGAAAATTCTAGTTGTTTAACTTTAAGCGAAGAGGAATTGTCAGAGCATCCTATACGTCGTTTTGCAGGCAACATCCGTGTTATAAAAGAACCCAGGAATGAGCAAGATTTGGAAACTTTAGATGTTTTAAATAAGTTGAAGCGTGAGCCAGTTCTAGGCCTGGATGCTGAAATGACAGAAAGCAAAAAAGGGTATTATAAACGTAGTAAAAAAACAAGAGTTGTTCAGATCGCTTCGGAAACTGATGCCGTTGTATGGCAACTTAAGAACTTTACAACTTTGCCTCCATCACTTGTGTTTTTTTTGAAATCTGATATCTTAAAGGTAATTTTACCCCTTTCTTAATGAGACAATTATATAGTTCCTGAACGAGATGCCAAACAGTAGGATTTTAACAGTCCAACATCACCCTGACTATATTCTCACATCATCCATGCAAGTGGAATTTTCTGTCTGATAGATCTATTGCAGTAAATTTTCCACTTTATCCTTCAAAGGGAGACATTTTTGAACCTGAAACAGTCTGAACAAATGCATATCCTGTTCCAAAAATTTCTGCCCCAATAATTTTTCTTAAAACAATGCATATTTCAAGCGACTATACATGTTCTTCATGTATGCGATTATATATCAGAAAAAACATGATAACATGGTAATTCAAAAATGTAGGGTCTTTGAGCATCCTCAAATCAGTATGAAAATTAGGTTATTTTTCAAAAAATATTAATTTAATATACTTTATTATATCCATCCATGGTAAATATGATATTGTATACTAAAAAGATGTGGTAGTTGTTAAATACTAGGCAAATCAATTGACTTCTCTATAAATGTTACCTTATTCCAGTTGTTTAAATCCATTGGTAGACTTTGCAGTAAGGTACAGTATTCCATTGGTAGATTTGAGTTCTGACATACTGTATCTGTTTCAATTTTGTAACTATTAACATTGTTATTCAAGTACTTTCAATTTAAAAGTTTCACACCCCTCTACCCTTTTCTGATGACATAAAGAAAAACTCCCATTTACATCACATGTAAAATTCACCATATATACATGTACTCAATGCAGGTGGGCCATGCTATAAGTGATGATGTCGTCCTACTAAAAAAGGAGTTCGATGTCACATCAAAGCGTCTCCTTGATACCTTGCCATGGGCAATGCAGCTGAACTGCAAACCTTTAGGTCTCCATGCCGTATGTGCGATATTTTTGGGGTGGAGGATCTCTAAAGGCCTACGGACTTCTGATTGGAATAGAAGCGAGCTTTCAGAGAATCAAATATACTATGCCTGCACTGACGCATGGGCTAGCCTCTTGGTGTATAAAGAAATGAAAAGGTATTCTATTTGGATGTCTTGTCTTGTTGACATTAAACGAATGTCTTGTCTGGACATACAATAGGCTTGCTTAGTGCTTGTTTACAGTATATCCGAACCATACGGACCATTAGGGAATAATACAACCATTGGGAAAAATACGTAACCCAAGCTAATATATGAAGCAGGCCAATTGTAAATTTGCAAAGAATTTTGGAAACTCGATTTTAAATTCTAACGAAGTTCACAAATTGCAATTCTGTCAGGATTTGAATTCACTTGATAAAAATCAATTTCATAATATCAATGCCAAACTTTTACACAAAAAGCTCATGAGTAAATAAAGCTATGGAAATTATGGACCCATATTCCCAAGTTTGTCAGCGACTGAAATTATTTGCTGTACCAAACGTATTTTAACCTAGACTTGTTTTTTTGTTGGTTTCAGGGTTGCCGTGATAAATGGATGGAGCTTACCTCAGCTAATAGAGTCAGTGACAGATATCCTAGACACCAGACTTGACTCCAGAAAAAAGAGACGCCAACGCCTAGTTCAAAATAGCAAAGCTAGAAAAAACTTCGAAATTATGGCTAGAACAGCGCAAAAGATTGTAGAATAGCTTTTTTACACAGCTATATAGTTTTAGAAATAAGAAAAATTTATCATTAAATTACAATGACTATGATGAAATATGAAACTAGACACACATACTTCTGGGCTACCTTGGACACATTGCTCATCGTAAACCACCGGAGAAAACTAAATTATAACAAACTTGCATTCATAAGCGCTTCGCAGTTATCTGTAAAATTATCTTTTTTTTTTGTACCCAACTAAAAGTCATCATTCAAATGTAAGTAATGCTTTTATCCCTCGCAACAACAGCGGGACCATCCGGATGAGATGCGATGGATGGCCAAGCCCTTTTACCATCACCTCTTTCACAAAAGTGATTTGAACTTTCCAGCAAACCTGAAGCGGTGTAACAGAGGAGAAAATACGAATCTTCTTCTCTCTCATAAGTTAAGACGACTATTTTGCAAATGGCATAATGGAATACCATTCCACAGATTTCGTGGTCGTGCGGTAGCATCACTGTCGACACCCGAGTCCCATCTTCAGTGTAAACATGAAAGGCCATGCCACCAAATGATGACAGGAGAATTGCATCTTTGTTAGAAATACTCAAGCAGGGCAGTCCGAGGGAGCTTCGATCGAACTTATTTTTTAACTTTCCAGTGGTGTTGCAAACATACACGTGCTGATCTTGGTGCTTAACCAGGACGATACTATTTTTGCCTACAGACATCCCCAGCCAAAACAAGACACTCGCTTCGAGAAAAGCTAAATCGCAGTAGCAGATCGTATTGTTGTAATTCTCGTCCAATATACACAAGTCGTAACGTCTCACAACGCTATTTTCTGTACGAATTTCAAGCCAACGCACGACGTAAACATTGCTACGATGATCGAAAGCAAGCGCTACGATACGTCGCATGGTAATTTTGCCATCTTCCGCACCCGGCAAGTTAACCAACCTCTTGTCACCATTCCGCGAAATCACTTGGATACTTTTACCACCATCGCTTACAACAGTCTCTCCATGTCCATTGACCGAAGATACGAACGGATATATATTTTCACGGAGTGCCAGCCTGCTTTGAGGCAACTGCACGAATTCTCCACCCCAAGATTTTCTATTTGAAACCTCCTGCCAATCAAATATTGGATTAAAACTACGATCGGACAGCTCAATTCCTGCTCCAGGCCATCTCAATCTTTCTGCAAGTTTGCGACTAAATTTGAGATTAAAATAAAACAAAACGTAGTTGATCATCATGACAGACTTTACGTTCTCCACTCGTTCTGCTTTATGCAGGTACGACTGCATCCTGCAATTGAGATACACGGAAAATATTTTACGGATTGCCGGCAAGCTGTGAAGATCTTGTAGAAACGATAGACTCCCTGCGATTCCGGTATCGGGGCTATCGAGATTTTCCAGTATCTCCGAAACCACGCGCAATTTCGAGGCGAAAATCCTATCTTGGATACTTAGCGCTTCGTTGCAGAAAGCATGGGTTGCTGCCTTGCGCGCTTCCTCGAATCGTTTCTTGGCAGATTCAAAGGCTTTATTCGAATGCATCTCGAGCATTCCCACGGCGAACGATAGCCGTAGAGCTTCGTTTAAGATACCCGACTCAATGGTATTCGATACTCGAGATTGCGTCTCACCGCGAGCAGCTTTTGTGTCAAGCTTCGACTCGTCGAGAGAAACGTTCAGGAGTGCCAATCCATCTTTTAGAAAGCGGTAGCTGCTAAGTAGATCTTTACGTGAAAGGCCGTCCAGCTTCGTTTTCACCTCGTTCAAATCTCGCACAAGTATTTCGCGAATCTTTGCATCTGTAACATCTCCGCCCTTTAGTTGAACCGCTGCCGCATCCCGTCCCGCGTTCCACAACAAGCCCACAGTAGAGCATAAAATACCCGTAACTATTGAAGCCATAATTGAATTGAGCACGACGATAGTGCTGTGAAATTGTCAAATTGCGCAAGATATGCAGGATGTTTACATGAGAATCCGGAAATATTCGAATGTATTTGTCGAAACGTCAACCCTGAAACAAATTTAAACACATTTTATTTGGCAGTGATTGATAAATTTTGCACGCCAAGGAATGAATGTTTAGAGCTATCATAGTTAATATTAATATAAAAAGGCAAGCGAAAGGATTAGAATGAACAAGTCGGAGGCTTGAAGAAATACGATATTCTCTTGGCTATCTCTAACCGGAAATCTATTGTTTATATATTCTCATTATTCGTTCTGATTTGCTACAATTTTGAAATTATGAAAAACGTGGATTTAAAATTTTGGCAGGAGATTTCTTGCTAAAGCCTAAACTAAAGGAGAAGAATTTGTCAGTTGGTGTTCGTAGCGTTTCATTTGTGCAGAGCGAATCACGCGAGTGATGAAATTTTGATGTCCCCCGCGCGACCCTCTTCAGAGGGAGATAAAGCCAGATAAAGCGTTATTTTCCTAGGACAATAACAACTTTAATCACGTGCGGCTCACCTGGACATGTGGCTTTAGACTGTTTATCGATATGAAATTATGAATTATTATGTCTTTTATGATTTATGAATAGATATTTCATTGTTTACCTTGTAGTTTGGTTTTTCTTTGACAAGTGGTATATAATAAAAAAACTTTTTTACCGAGACCTCAAGAAAACATTGTCTTGTGGGCCCGAGACCGGTCGATATTTCACGAGGCGGAGCAGATGTTTCCTTCGGTCATGGTAAGTAAATGTTAAATAACCACTGTGAGCAATCCAAGTTAGCTACCTTTAAAAAAAGGCAACATTCAATTTAAAACAGTCGAACAACTTTTCTTGATTGTAATATTTATTTGCCAACTGGCTATACTTTATAAACTTTGCTGCTTAGTTCTGTCTCTAAAACCTCTGCAATGTGCAATATTCCATATAAATTTAAAAGGCATATTACTTTTATTCCTAATATAAATTTAAAAGGCATATTACTAAACATTTGTATATCACAACACAATAATAATTTATACCATAAATATTATCCTTCAACAAAAATTAAAAAACAAAACCATTGGAGCATTCATGAAATATGAATCATAAAACATATTTGAATTTCTCATGAAGTTTTATGAAAACATTTATTCTCAGGAGCATTGCCTTAAAGTATAGCTATCAGATTACAATTAAAATTTAAGACTTTAATTTTCCATTGGGGTTGCTAATAGCAAACTTCTTATCACAAGTAAATGACACAGTGATTGCAAATCTTGTTCCCTTCTCAATTTTTTCAACAAAATGTTCATTTTCTGACCCTGATGTGAAGAATGATAACCGACCCAACCTTGGCTCCACTGTGATGTTCACATTTTTGTCTATGAAAACAAATCGACCTCCTGAGAAATCCTTGGTGCTATCGCTTAAATAGAGTAAGGATGTGTAGAAAAATGAACCATAAGTGACCTTATCGATGTGTGGGTGCCAATACTCATCATGCAGTGTTACCGCCGGCTGGGAGTTCATCCTTGAGAAAAATGTTGGTTTTGTGAGATACAAGACTTGTGGGTCAATGCCAAATTTATGTGCTACAGCAAAATGAATCTTTTCCTTAACCCTTTTGTATAACTCAAAATCTTCTTTTGAGAATACTGGTTCATTATTTTTTGCTGTTAATGAATAGATGTTCACAAATTTGTCACCGACTGATAAAGCACCTGAATGCAGGTCAAGTATGGTGGCACCTCCACTCCCCCCTCCGTGACTCATGCCCTTTTCTGCTAGTTTCCTCAGGTTGATTGCCTCCTGTTTGGTAACGACAGAATCCATCACAAACCGCCCGCATTTTTTAGGTATGCATCTTTTAAATTCACTTCCATAATCCTTTGAGCAAGGTACAAATGTAGACCTCTCCGAAATGAACTCCGAAACGCTGGCAAACGTCTCAAAATCTTCACCCAGTATATAACGATTCAGAAAATAGTCTCTCCCATAAATATAAGCAGTTATAATAACTGCTACGGCAACTATTCGCTGTATTACTGATACGCCAGCAATTTCCTCTGATTTATTACGAGTTTGTTTCACTTTTGACACGTTTTTCTTTGTTTTACTTTGAGGTTGCTTTTCATCCAGCTCAATAATTTTCGCCATCTTGAATTTTTCCTTTACTCTCCTTAGTCTTTATATAAAACTCGCACGCCATTATAGCTCTGGAACAAAACTAAAAATAGACCCGCGCGTGCACACCGGATAGCCACCGCGGGCGTATATGTTCAAAATATACATCGGAGAATAGGAATTCGATTCGAATTCGAGCATACTGCAAGCACTAAAATTTAAAACTTCCCACTCTATTAAGTCCCCTCTTTCAAATGATTTGAAAAGAATACGAACCAAAAAGACCTAATAGAAAGAAAAACGCAGACCCAGAGAGTCACAACTTCATAATAATGCTGAATGGGATCAGCCATAATTTTTTGGCCATACAAATTCAAAAGCCTATCAACGTTTACAAAAGAGCATTAGAATTTATCTTAAAGGTGGGTTATAGTCAGTTACTTCTGCGCATTGGTTCTGCTCATAACAATAGGTAGTCTACTTCGCATGTTTCGTATATCACTGAACATAATCTCTCTCATATTCATTTTGTTTAGATATTCTCATTATTCGTTCTGATTTGCGTTTGTTTAGATTACGGAGTGTACCCCCCCCCCCACCTTTATAATTTCTTGAATTCCAGAACCATATAATTACGATCATCACACAAATTCCAATTTAACTGCAAACGTCGATAAAAACCCAGGCAAATGTTTATTTATATTCTAGGTGCAACAACACACGTCCCCTTGGGTAATCACTAATCTGAAGGAAAAAGTGATCACACGGTATGACAGGCGTAATTGAACAGGATATTGTTCCTTTCTGGAATAGCCGCCATGTTTGTAACTCCAAATTTGCTGCTCCACAATAAGACACGTTCTAAACTAATCGGAAAATTTGTTTACATTTTCAGGCAAAGTCAATAAATAATGCCTGAATCTTTAATACTTATGTAAAGTGGTAAATAATTTACTTTTTTACCGGAAATAGTCAAAATTTATGCATTCTAATTGGGTTACTGAAAAGGTAAACAAATTTGATGATTGGTTACGAAATTCCTCCTTATCGATAGGCAAGAAATCTTTTCCTGCGTCAGACAACATACTTACGCGCGATAATAAATATTTTTATTTAAAAAATCATCGAACTGTAAAAAACACTTTGACTGTTCAGAGTTATTAAAAAACCGTGCAAAATTATACGACTGCTTTAGTTTTGATTTTTTTCGATCTTCTGGTCGGCTTTTTCGCGTCTAACTTTCTCTTTCGACTTTCCTTTTTTGCAACATTTCGTTTCATTTTCTTAGCAACACTCGCTTCTGGGTTCGCAACCATCTTAAGAAATAAAGCCACAAGTCAAAGAGTCAGCTACGATAACATAGGTAGGATTCAGAATAGGTATACGGCACAATGGCCCGGGTAAGGATCTTGTTTAATCATCGTTGTCTTTTGGCTCGCAGAATGGCCTCGATACAAGGATGCACTTGAGAGGCCATGTAGTCCCTAGGCCTACGGGGTTGTTCCTAGGCCTACTATTTCGTTCCATAATTATTTATTCTGTTTTGTCGCTTCGACATTCGGGGCATAAATGAGGGGGGAGGCTTGAATATCAGAAGCTACATCGAGCACGCAACAGAACGAACAAATGAACTTACATGAGCAGACGGAAATGACAGATAATTGAAATGTAGAAGAGGGACGCCCTCCCGAATAAATTTTAAAATAACATTGCGCCGGGGCAGCATATAGAGTGAGATTTCAGAACTTCCTTAAAGAAGGTGAAACCAAAGATGGCCGTAACTAGCAAGAACACCCCCTTGTAGGTCCGTCCGGCTTACCTCAAACGCATTTTGCATTTTTCGTTTAGCTTTTACTTCAGTGGCACTCTGCTTTGTTGCTGAGTAAGCTTGGGAGAAATTCTCGTGACCAACAAGATTCTTAAATAATTCAGCCACCTCCTGTGCCAATTCACGTAACTTCTCGTCTATAGATTAAAACACGAGATATGTTTTAAGGCTTTTCGAAACTTTAAACAGTCACTTGCTTTACGACTTCAGTGCTTTTCTCTATTGATTGAGGATGTTTAATGGAAATGGCAGCTTATCTTACCAACGTAAGTCGATCCGCCATCAAGTTCCCGATAAACAGGTTTGAGCATTTGGGTAAGATATGGACGAACACCTTCACTTTCCAAGTACGAACCAACAGCAGCAATCCACCTTAAGACACTACAACGCTAAAGGGAATTTCGAGAACAAATTAGACCACCTTACACAACTATCTGGGGCAGGTTGTTCAAAAGGCGTTTAGCTGCGGGTCAGAGTGTTTAGGCATGCACTGAAATTCAACTTGATATAATTGCCGCTGTTATCATCTTAAGTTACCATCAATATTATCTAACGTTACAATGGTGAGAAATGCCAACTGACAACAATTTAAGTCTTAGTTGTACAAACCAAGCCAATAATGTTGAGACAACCCATCCCTTCACAAAATTTAAGTTCCCCTAAGATTCTCCAAATCAACATGAAACTGGGTCGGAGCAGAGAAAATATTCTGCGTCCAATTAACCTGCTTTTTGTAAGAACATACAAAAAAAAGGTTTCGAAAATGTCGTGGTGCTCAAAGACTTTTAACCAGGATTGTTGATGTGCATGGAGATAGGCTTTAAAGTAATTGCCATGTGTGCTATTTTAGGTCGAGCTCAATCAACTACAGAAACCAGACCTTTTGAGTCAATTTTGGCGTTTGAGAGGATTCATATTTGGCGATATTGCACATCTTAGTGAGCAACCATGATATTGTCATGTGATTAGTAGCCTCTGCAGTCATCGATGATTTGTCAAGCGATTGGGCGACGTCGGATGATGGAACACTGCCATCTAAGTTTCTTCTCTCCAATTGGACGATCAGTTTGCTCAAATAAAATAGGTTCTTAACAACCTGAAAACAGTAGAAAAGAAAAATTATTTGTGATGCTAGAAGTGGCGGTTGAAATCCTGCAGGAAGACTTGCGTGAGTTGCACTTCTCGCTTAAAGTATCCGATTTGGTAGCTATGAAACCCAAAATGTCCTGATGTTTCAACAATAGTTGAATACTCAAGTGCATTTGTTTAGGTATATGCTTGCCTCAAGGTCGCTTAAAGAGCATATACTCGGTAAAACTGAAGTACCTAATATCCGACGAAAGGACTACGTGAAAGGCCATTTCCATTATTTAGCATCAAATGTGGTATAACAACTGCCTAAAATAGACAAAACACTTCTCGACGTTTCGACCTGAGGACCTTCGTCAGGAGATTTAGTATACTGCCATACTAACTCTCCTGACGAAGGCCCTCAGGTCGAAACGTCGAGAAGTGTTTTGTCTATTTTAGGCTGTTGTTACACCACATTTGACGCTAAGTTGTTTGAAGACGCTGCCACGCTGCTCCCGGCTCTATTTCCATTATTGCTATCAATTTAAACTCTACTGTTATAAGGTCACCAGCAGTATCAATTCTGAACTTTTCTTTCTGTAGTTTGGCCTCTTTTTAATCTCTTAGAGAAATATTAAATCAACTTACCCATAACTATGCTGATAACTCTTACAGCAACTGGGTTTCTAGTATGGAGTCTTTCGATCTCTATGCTTTTCTCTCTAACATTTACTAAATATATAAAGCTTACTTGTTCGCCTAGTTCCTGATCGAGATTCTGCGTTTTCAGTTGTTCAAGCAAAGCTTCACAAAGTGAATCAACCTAAAAACGAAATACTCTAGAAATCTTCAAGCTGAACCAGATTCCTTGTCACCTTAGTCAAAACGCATAATCGCTTGTTGTGACCGAGCGAGTGTTCTATATAATTTAGTGTTTGCGACATTAACATTTATAGATATAAAATTACCTTTTTCGCTGTATCAATAGTCAAATATTCCTCGGTTTTCCCTTGTTTTGATAAGTCAATCAGATCGCTTGGATTATTTTGTGAAAAAAGGAGACCAAGCAAACGCGATGCCATCAATCTCACCCACGTGTGCGGAAATGTTAGGTGACTTGAAATTGAATCTGAAAAGAAGTGAAAGAATACGATGAAAACCTCACGATTAAAACATTTGAAATTGGACCAGTTATGTGAGATGCATTTACTAATAAATTTTCCTTGTTACTTCCACAACTTTCACAACACAACTTTCAAAACATGGCTATATAGAAAATATTGTTATCGCTAGCTTCAACAAAACAATAATACTGATTGATTCATAACATTAATAAACTAATTGATTACTATACGAACATACATTATCAACACAGCTAGCATGCAGTCTTACCCCAGGCTTCTACGGTCATTGCTCCTGATCCTTTCCCGGTCAAAACTGAGCATTCTTGTAAGATTTTTGTGAGGGTCATCAAAGCATTTATTAAGAGATGATCACCGATTGTCTCCTTTTGTCTCACTTCGTCAATGTCAACCACACGTTGCTCCTATGGTATCAAAATAAAAATATGATTGCACCTAGCAATATCGCCTTAAAGTCTCCTTTTGGAGGTACGGAAACACAATATTTGAAGGATTTTTATCAATCTTCTATGCTGGTTTCGTCCTGCTAATGGACCACTTGCGTAATAGACCAACTTTTGATTCAGGCGACAGAAAAGGAGTTTCCGAAAAGAGCATACCAAACTTATAGTAAAGCTGCCTAATTTGCATGGCTGCGAAATATTGTAAAATGCTGAGGGATATAGCTAAGCGAAGTTAGCAAATTTTGTATACTCTTGTATTATGGTCGGAAGTGTGTAACTAAATTAGTTATGCAAACAATAACATATAATACCTTTTCATTATAGTTTTCTGGCTTTATAATATCCAACAATCGGGGCAAAACATCAACGAGGCGACGGTCGAATGATTTCCCTTCTACTTCAACGAACAAACCACAAACATGACACGACAGTCTTTGAAGGCTTGTCTATTTGAAAATAGAAATTTTAAATATTTTAAAATGTCAATAACAACGTCGGCCTCAGTGGCGTAACTAGAACGATAATTATGATAATGGCGGGGAGGGGGTATTTATATACCCAGTTCTGCCCGACAGATTTCTTTTGTAAATGCAATAGCTTACAGTAGAAATCCGTGGTTGGAAATCCGTCGGTCAGAACTTAATATATTAATATTCACCCCCCCCCCCCCCCAATTATCGTTCTAGTTACGCCCCTGGTTGGCCTATCTAAACTAATATCGTTCAATAAGCTCGGAAGTATTCTTAGTGAATTAATACACGGCTAAAACGGTCAAGGTGTTTCCGGTTAATCAAAACCGGCAGGACCGAACAATGAATTTGTGCTGCACCGCACGAACATGGTTGGTATTATTCAGGTAAAGACAACCCGTTATCGCCCCAACCTATACCAAACTAACTTTAACATAACTGGAGTAAAACTCGTCATACATACAGCCTAATTTTCCGCGGTTACTAAACGTATTCCATATATGGAGACTGGAACCGCTTTAGAAGAGGTCATTGCTACATACCTTATCGTCATTCATCCACGTCAAAACAATAGCAAACAAATTATCTCTCCGTTCCACATCGAGCTGGAAAAGGAAAATATACAGTGTAGTAATACTAAATTTGACCTTCGCCAAAGATATTATCCCTAAGATACGATTAAATTATGACCCATATGAAGTATATTTTACAACGAACTATATGACCGAGTTTGTTCTACAGTTATATGTTCTTCTATTTTTGTTTTTCCAAAGATCTATCGAAGAACATTTCTAATGTGACATTATACGTATTTTGATTATTATACATTGAATTATTCTTTTTGTGTACAACCAAAGCTAGACTGAATTTAGCTCCAGGGTACTGGACTTAATGAAAGTTGCTTGAACTATGGGTTCAATTTGTTCTAAACTCACCTTTGTTATTAATCCTTTGATTGCAACCGCCGTTAATTTTCGACAGTTGGTAGACTCATCGTTCACAAGCCTTGTGCACAACGGTAGGAAAAACAGTCCCGAATTAATGTAAACAGCTTTCTGTGAGAAAAATGAAGAAAATTTGGATTTAACTATAAAGAAAAAACTTCGCAATGCAAAAAGAGTATAGCTGGGGTAAAATATTTAACTGAAGTCCTTGCTATATTACCTGGCTATATCTAAAAAACAAACAGGTTTATCATAGTCTTACCTCCGGAAAAGAATTGACAATAGAAATTAGCATTTCCAGTGTGGATTCTCTCCCATTAGCATGCTCATATCTAAACGAAACGACAAATTTGTAGATAAACTTAGATTAAAATAGCTATAATAGCTAGCAATAAAATATTTTCATTGCAAGCTCGATTTTCGGAAGCATAACAACACACGTTTTGTGCAGAAACATTTCCACCTGTTAAACCAAGAAAGAATTCTGGAATCTCATGCAACCCAACTTTCGTCGATGGCCTATTAGAAATATTGTACAAATACGAAAAGGGTCAAAAATGTGAAAAAGCATGCAGTAAACGTACTCAAGTTGACTGATGAAAAATTCCAAATAGCGTTTCAGCTTCTTGCCCAAAGGATAATCCAGTAAATATTGTAGAACAACCTTAAGGGATAAAAATCAAGACTTTAAACAAATTACTTAGCGATAATGACTACTATCTATGCGTCCTAACGCTAGACGAGTACAATATCGTATACTATGGTGATGGCGGCTAACCTGCCTACATTGACTTCTAACGGACGGCGATTGATCCGTAACACAAAGTTCGGCCACTTTAAGCATGACGTCATTTATCTCTGAAACCTGCAGCCCACGTGACAAAATTGCCTGAAATGACATACATAAATAAATACCCGTATACAGTATATACTTCTCTCAACTCTACCGGAGACCCCAAGATTTTCACGCTTCTGTTGTAAGTTAGGTTCAAGTTTCGCATAGGATTACACCTAGTTTAGGGCTGACAACAGATAAATTATCATGGTAATTTTATTTGTTACCTTTAGCAAAGGAAAAGCACTAGTTTGTCGGGTATAGTCGTGCATGTCCTCTTCGACAAATGTAAGTAGAATCTATAAAAGTCAAAATTTACAGAAGCATATATCATTTGTTACCGTTATTGCGTATGAAATCAAAAGCCATATAGTAGCTACTACAATACAACACCTACCCGAAGTTGCCTATCGGTAACTTTAAGTTCAGTGAAATCTCGTATTAAAACTGTGATCGTCTGAAAGGTATTATAGTTAGGATCAATTCTAGCTACTAAAGCTATTGATCTCGGGCTAGCGGGATATAATATGCATAGGTTTAATCCCTTAATGGTCTAATGAACTAATTAAATGGATAAATGCGCTTTTTTAGATTTTTTGTGGCTCAATTATTTATAAACAATTTGGTAAGCGAAGTACAATAACTTTTGTAAGCACGCATATTAATTTTGTTGCATATAAAAATTACTAAAGTTAAAAAAATAGTATATATGCAGAATTTATTGATTCTCATGCATTATTTGGTATACGTTATTATAAGTTCATTAGGCAATGTCTCATAGTCTCTCGCAAAAAACAAGAAAATGTCTATAAGAATACCTTAAATGCCGACAAGACCATTTCATAATTATCTCCGGATGCTCCCCCCGTCCTAGCGTGATTCTTGAGTAACTTAAAAAGACGGCTTGCTATTTCGAGGACATGCGTCTTGAGCGATGGTACAGGAAAGCGGACGACCCAGCATAAACATCGTAATGCTATCGTTGTTATCTGAAAAAACACAGATATCTCAAATATGTGGTGCTTGTAGGTATCCATTATATGTGTAGCCTTCAGTGATAACATAATGAATAGTTAATTGTGTGTGCCTTTGTAACTCTGGTAAGGTGAAATATGCTAAGGAACGTCAGACAATTAAGGCAAGGTATAGCTATGGTAAAGTCAGGTCCGGTTAGAAAATTAACGTGAAGTAAGGTAAGGTAAGACGGGACAAGTAGAACAAGGTACGATAAGAGGAGAAAGGCTGCAAAGTTGATGGAAGGTCAGGTGAATTAGGTCAGATTAGGTTGAGGATTTGTTCAAAGTTATTGGCAAAGCCAGGTAACGATAAAATTAGCCTGCACGAGGCTTGTTCAGTGCATGCATAACTATACCTATACAAGTTTTCACACTGCTGAAATTAAAGTGGAGAAATATTGAAATTCAGGAGAGAATAATTTATGCATATACTACCTTAACGTGCTTCGAGTTCAAAGCATCGGTTAAAACAGCGACATATGGATCGAGCATTTTCACATGTTGTTGCTCCGTTGCAACTAGATTTTGTCTTTTCAATGCTGTAAATAAGAGCTACAAACAAGAAATATATTAGTTCAATAACTTTATCGTTTCTCAGGGCCTCTTGTTAATAGTGAATGTAAAAATATAAGTTACAGTTCTCCTCCACAGTCGTTAAACAAATTGGGCAAAGTCTTAGTTCTAAATATCTGTAATACCTGGAGCCCAAAGGTGATCAGAACATGCGTGTTTGTTCTGTGACTGACTTCAGGCGTTTTGCCCTTCCTCGAAGGTTGCGAAGGGATGAGAAAGGTGTCTGATGGTTGTAAACGAGGATCATGTTCACCTTGTTTCTTCTCTTCACCGCTAAACAAAAAATCGACACTAGAGACTTTATGCAAATCTTACTTACTTTATGCAAGTAATAATTTCTACAATTTGGGCACAGCTAGGATAACGGAGTGCAAACATGGCGGCAATCCGTTTAATGAAGTTCAAAAACTTTCCAACAATAATGATGACGATGATGATGATAACAAGCTTAATTTACCATCACTATAGATAAAGTGCAATGGAATTATAAAACTCAATTCAAGAGATAAAATTAATTTTTAAACTGTTAATTGCTACCAATGAATCGTGCAATATAGAAATGAAAAGTGAAGTAAATTTCACTTCCAGTTTTTTTCCCAGAAACAGATCGAAAGTGAACACTTACTCGCTAAATAAACGAAACCGTATAACCACAACGAAACTGTCTATAGCATTCACTATATGTTTGCGCCCGCCAAAATCTGACCCTAAATCTGGTCTTACATCTCTTTCATTTCAATGCTGACTGCATGGGTATTAAGAAGTATGGACTATATAGTCATAGCTGCATGGAATATTCCGGCGAGTTTAAAAAAGATGGGCGCCCATGGCTCTTATCAACCTTTATGCTTGTTCACCGAGGGTTGAACGGTTTAGGAATCTCTAAGTTAAAGTGCGCTTACCATTTACCTAGGGGAATCGGAAATGAAAGGCAAACAGTACAAGGAATTTCCGCTCGATACTTAATGACGTACCTTGCATTCTTTTCAAGCAACGGTAATCTCTCGCTAACTAGACTGTAAACAAAGACCAACATTTCTTCGGGTGAAAACATGGCGTTCTTTTGTAGGCCGATACTGACGCGACGAAGCACTTCCTGGACCCGAAGAGACGTTTTATGGTTTTGTGTTTCATCTAGAACCTAGAAAAGCGGTTCACGTTTAAAGCGCTTTCTCTATAGACACTGCATGTATGCTACTTGAATTCTACTCAGTAAAAAGCCTAGCACGCATGCGTACCGTTTTCAATGGCGTGATTATAACCATCAACTTAGCTGCGGATATCTTCTTCGCCACTAGCTCAAAAGTCTCGAAACTTTTGGTAGTTCGAGCTTCGGGTAATTTTGTGGAAATTTTATCAACTTCACGTTCTCTTGCAGGTTCTCCAAAAGAATCTTCGATCAATATCTTTAAAAAGAGAAAATATAAATAACAAAAATAGATAAACGGGCAATTGTTCGAAAGCTGTCGGGCAAGAGATGTCAAAATAGCAAGGACTACACGTGATATACGCAACGTGACATGCATATAACTACAATCTTTTTAAATAATTATTTGCCTCGACTTTTAATATGAATTGTCTCTATTTCTAATTATTCCATTTTGTATTTCTAACTTATCCAACGTTTAGCATAACGCACCGGCCATTCAGGTATAAATATTTAACATTATTTAATAGACCTTTTAACTTTCAAGCGCGCAATGCGTGACGTAGTTGATTATCAAGCAACTTTGAGTTGCAATATCGTTTGTAAGAAAACCTTGCCGATTCTTTTTGCTTCTTTGTTAAACCAAATCGCTTCTGAACATGGCGAAATCACAAATCAAATTGACCAACTACCGTAACGCATTGCGCGCTTGAAAGCTAAAAGGGGAAAGGTATATTCACTCTATTGACTAGCGTCAAACCTCAACTATACTTTGCACAGACACGTCAAGTGCTCCATCAGGAATACATTCTTCAAATTTGTTTAATACGTAGAACAACGTCGAGCCGAGAACATGAAGCTAGAAGAAAATCGAGCGAGTGTAAAGTTGAGAATAGGATATATAAACAGGATAAAATAAATAAACACAAAGTGTAAATACAAAGTCAAAGGTGACAGTAAATCTTCGTGAGAATTTCATGACAGTTTAGATTAAGGGTTATGGTCTTAATTTCGAGTGGAATTTATGTACACAATTTAAATTCGAGCCACGCAGAACAGTAGAGAATATTATCAACTATTGCATGATCCTCCGACAGGAATTGACAGGAATCTATACGCCTTATCGATGCCGTGATATTTTTTACCTGAAATTATGCAAAGGGGAGTTACGGCGACATCTGCACATCGGTTCTGCTAATAACATAACGGGATTCCATGATTTAAATGTATGAAAATTGCCCAAATCTCGCATGTTTTTAATTTTCCCGAACATAAAATCTCCGTATTCATCGATCATCGAGAAATATATAGCTAACAAACATGGTGTTAAAATTTATAGATAAGTTCACATTTGTAATAATTACCATTTGAGTGCGTAATTTAGTTGTTACTTCAAAGGCGTTTTAATAATATAAACCGTTATAAAAGATATTATATTTTCTCATTGTAAACAAAGCATTTATTCACATTGCGACTGTGTATACCCTTTCGTCAACTGTTTCTGGCTTGAATTTGCATCGCTTATAAACACCACTCGAAATTAAGACGATTATAAACATAAGTTTAGAAAATTCATCACAAAGGTGATTATGGAAAATTGTGCATGCCACTGCATGGCGAGACGACCTCGGATCACGCGATAATCACCAATGTAATCACCTAAACAGTGTTTCAAAATAGAGGCGAGTAGTTTTTTTATGTTATTATCTTAAGACAATATTATTCGCCTCAGATTCGGTGTCGTATTCCAGTTTAATGCCAGTTTATTGATGCAGCGATATTATCAACGCATTCGACGATTATTATTGGGCAAACTACCTTAAAAAATATAGTAAACCTAGGTCACCTCAATGTGGAGCCCACAGTCTTTGCAAGCGGCAAATGAAAGCGGATTTTAATGCTTATGAATGAATATTAAAGGTCGACACAGACCGGACGCGAAGCGGCAACGCGACGCGAATTTTCAGTTTCCAGAAGCATATAAATTAAATTCTGGGATCAAAATATAGAATCTATGGACGCTAGAGCGGTCAAAATGTATTAATGTATTATTTTTATGTAATGTACAAGAAAATTTTGATAAGTTCAAATTTATTGGCTTTTGAAAAATATAAAACGTTGAAAATTCGCGCCGCGTTGCCAATTCGCGTCCTGTCTGTGTGGGCCTTTAAGCTGAATTGAATAAAATGCGATCAAAAATTGACTGAAAATCATTCAATTGCGATTTATGTGGACAAAAACAGGCGTGTAGTTCACTTCAACGGTATATAGTAGCGAAACGCAGCGAATTCCAGTTTGTTAAAAAGTAGTAAGTTCTAGCCGAGTACTCCGGAAACAATGATATATCCTATACGCTTTGCCACGATGCCGCCGCCAAAGTGAAAACAGCCCCCAGCCTCGCGCACACGGTACATTTAGCCGGCACACATTGACCTACACGTATGATTGAGATATTCTGTCATTCGTGTGGAGGAATTGAGTATTAATAACATAATATGTCAACTTAATCCCGGCAGACTAGAAATAGGTGTCAATAGAACTGTCATGAGTATGTCAAATGCGTGCGTGCTAAGTGCACCACGGCCAGTGTGCACTAGGCTTTTGGCTTGACCCGTATTTCACATGTGCCAAATACATTAGATCCATACGAGATCCTTCAATGTATTCGAAACGGCCCTTATAAGAACATAATTAAAAACAGTCAGATGAAAACTACACCTAAATGTATACCATATAAGCATATGGATTCCTAAAGTGGCCAAACGCCAGAAATAACCTCGTCAAAAATTGCATGACAGACTAACCTGATACCCTTTAATCAATGAACTCCGTAATTCGTTGAGAATGAAGGGAAAATAGTGGATTCCAAGCGAATTTGTAATCTTCGACAAGGTGTCCCTGGCCGTTTCACGAACATCATAAGCGCGGCTCTTCAAGGCTACACAGACACGAATGAGCAGCCTAAAGATAAGCGCAAAGCATATAGTCAGTCTCAAATAATCCGACATAGATTGGAGATTAATTTCCCCTCAGCGCGACATATGTATACTTTGAACAATATATGTATATAAAAAAGTATTATCTTTAAAATTCAAATAAGCCGTACGCCTGTATAAAACAAATGAGTGCGACATAGAAATTATCAATGATAACGTTCTTTCTTAATCAATGCAAAGATTTACCTAAGGTGAAACAATGAAAATCAAGCTATTATTTGACTGGAGATACCATCATGGAAACGTTATGAGAAGATTAACTGATTAAGATCCCCCACTCAATGCGTTTGAGTGTAAGTGAGTTTTTAGAATACAGGCGATAGTCTAGATCTATATAAGGGTGCATAAACTACAATTTCAATGGCTGTTAACTACACCACTGGCCAAGTTCCAGGATTTGAAAACACGTTTCCTCGTACAGGACTACCAAAATAGAAATACAAGTAAACAAATCCGAGAATCGTAACTAACTGCATAGCCGTTGAAATTCTAATAATAAGGTCTGTGCATAATTTGCAACGCAAATTATTCCATTGCACGCAGGCTTTTTTATGTGCCCTGTTCAGGGCGAGAAAAAACCTTGATGCCTATTATTACGCGAATTTGCAAATTATCTGTAGTTTGACAGAGAGTTGTCGAAAGCGAATCATTATTTAAACTAGAGCATGAATCTTTTTCCTTGCCCTTGGGAGTTAAAATGCACTTTACTCACGCGAGAGATAATAAAACTGCTGTCAATTGCGTCCTATTGGACGAAATGCAGCAAGGCGAGTAATAATTATCCGGCTATATCACTAATATATAAATAGGATAAGTTTTTTTTTCACACGGTGATAAAGCATTTAACAGTTATCGTAACTATTCAAGTCACAGTGATTATGACCAGGCTGAAATTTTCTACAGGATGAATAAAAACCCGAGGTATCGGGTTTTTTTACTCGACCCTGAATACGCAATGTAGTAGCTGGCTATATGCATGCGATATACATATAGGCTTGAACATAGCGGACGAAAATCTACGTTTCGTGCTGTGCTGCTGATGCATGTTGTTGCCTGCGTCTTGCGGAAATATTTGGTTACAAGAAAAAAAGTTTTATTATCTTTTTTATAAGAGGTCAGGGAAATTTGTCTGGAGGGCATTTCACGTAATGGGTCATCAAATCTCCTGGAACCTCTAATGATTGTTACTGCGTTATTCACGATCGTATTTTTGAAATGCGAGAGTACTGGAAGTTGACGATGTTCCTCCTCTTACAACTCGCGCTGAATTTTGTACGCATAACGTACGTTTGCTGTACTTGTGAAACGCGAAACGACTGCGTGACAACAAAACAAGGAGAGACGGAGAGACGATGTTGTCGAGGTTTCGCTAATGGAAGTCATCTGAGTTGTCACAATGTCTCTACGTGCGCCGAGCGCTTTTGCAAAGCAGACAGCGATTGTGACGGTCAATGCTGTACCTCTAATAAATGTACCGAATGCGATGAGTGTACTCAAAGTTCGGAATGTGACGGGGACGCGGTTTGTTGCGGGAAAAATCGCATGAGCGACTATGCCTATGGTCGATGCAAGATTAATTGCGCCGGATCGCGTTGCGATTCCGATAAACATTGCCTTCGTTGGGATCTGTGTTGTGTCTCAAAAACCTGCATGCGTACCGGATGCGAGGATGAGCATCGGACTGAAAGAATTGGTTTAAGACGCGTGTTCGTGTATTTTGGTATATCTGGAGGGGTCTTAACATCGATCATTTTATCTTTTTTTCTGTACAAACTTATACTGAAGCCTCGGCGAGATTCAGCGAGGGTGAGCCCCCAAAATTTGGAGATGAATACGACGGTGCTGTCAATGACAACAACAGCTCATTGCACGAGCAGTTCCGACCACAATAATGGCAAACCTTCGTTGACGAACTAAGAATAACTGGGAAGTGGGAACAAACAATTAGGGCAATTAAACATATATATACATGCATACACTGCACTTATACACCTTAACAAATTTACGTCACATATACATGTAATTATATTTTATTACTAGCTGTAGAAAGTTATAATCAATCATATCTTCTTATTTATTGGCCATATATGTACACGCATTCTAATTCACCTTTTAACTCGACACAAACGGGCTATATTAAATCCTGAATTATAGCAACAAATTAATATATCGTTGTCTTTTTAGACAGATTTTAAATTACGTTGCTCACTCTAAACGTATAAAGAAGTTGTAAAGAGTGTAGACGAACCATATTGGTTTAGCCTATAGGATCAGAAACAAATAAAAGACTCTTTGGAGAACCTACTTGATATTTTCAACTAAACATTTAGACCATAATACGATATTCGTCTCCGCAATTTGCTAACGCTGTCACCAGCTCTGACAATTTTAAGGAGATATCCTTAAAACTAGGAACTTTGTTGCCTTTGAGGGTTCTCGGGGGGGTTTAAGAAATTTAGGTTTTTCGAGGAATTCGTGAAAAAAATAATTCCCTTTGCCAACCCCGAACATACTTATGTTCACGTGAGTATGTTTTTAAAATGCAAAACATAAATGCAGCAAAGCATGTGTGCATTATAAAATCAAAAGCAAACCAAACCGAACAACTGATATGGCTTACAATAAAACGTTTCAGTTCTTCAGTACTTAGAAACGAGATTGAATTAACAACTAGAAGACAGGAAGAGAAGGCTTAGAAATAGTAAGTAGATCATGCATGGAACGTTTTATATATCAGTTCCCATAATTAAATAAATTAAAATGGGGAAAATGTGAAAAAAACACTTTACAATGCCACTAAGCATGAAGCATTTTGTACACCTTAAAGCGACATTACATTTGATATGTCATAATTGCATAAAACCTAATACGATTATCATTCTCTCGGATAAAAACGAGTGTCACATGCGAGGTCACATGAAACCAGACGTTCGTGAAACCAGGCGTGTTTACACGATCACATGCACCAGGGGCCGGTTGTATCAAGCCCGTTTAGCTTAAACGGTGGATAAGTTCAAAATAGAAAGCAAGACTGCCGTTTTATTCAAGAAGCAAACAAAATGTTTTTGACCTTAATACAAAGATACTGTTTATAACTACAAATTCAGTGCATAATATTCAAGTTGACTTATTTAAGAGAGATGTAAGAGTGTTATTTAATTTTGACTTATCCACCGTTTAAGCTAAACGGGCTTGATACAACCGGCCCCTGAGTATGAACAATATAACGACAAGTCGCGATAGACTTTCCAAACTGAATTGGACAAAGAATTCGTTTATTACATCTTATTTCATTGATTATCTCTATCTGTGAACGCGTTGTAATTCACCTTTTTGATGAACTATTAACGGGTCCGCAGATAGGACCGTAATTGGGGGTTATATTCATCTATTCAACTTATGCCTGACAAATTTCTTTTAACGCTATTGTTCCTACGGTAGATAAACGTGAATATGTGAATACCCCACCCCCCAATTAAGCGGTCTATAGCTACGGCCTTGACTATTAATCGTCAGTAAACAAAAATAAATAATATATAGCACTAACCACATTGTTATCGAATTTACTGCTAAATCAAGTTTTGCTTTATTGTACTGAAAAATCTATTAGTCGAATAAGAAACACTTAAAAGGGAACTCAATTATTAAAAACAAAACTAATAGAATTTGGTCAACACGATACCATTTATTTCCTAAAATTGAACCATATAATATTAACCTATAAATGAGATATTTATTAATGAATATAATCTTTTTACCGTGAAATGATTTTAATCCTATTTCCGTTTCCTTCGTTGTTTTTAGGTACAGCGTATTTTTAAAATTTTTTAATTTTCTCATGAGTCACTTTAACAAAACAACTAGCCCTTTCAAAATACAAAATTTCGCTTAAATGTTTATCGCATAATAGGCCGAGGTCGCTCGACCAATCAGCTGCGAAAAGATCACCCTTTGTAATAATATTAAAGCAATAGGACAAAACTTAAAGAATATCAGTTAAAGCGATATCATTTTAATTAGAATTGAAACACATAGAATCTAGCTATAAAATGAATATTAAAGACGGCCATAAAGGCCGCCGGTCATAGTCTCTATAATTAATTCCATCACGTAAATACACAGTCAGTTCCTTGTACAGCCCATATATAGTCTTCCCGGCCCTCGTCATCCTGTTTAACTATTACGAAGGCGGGTACTGCGGGGTTGAGACTCAGGGAAATGTAGGGGTTGGCGAAGGGGGAACTGGTCGGGTTGCGGGGGTGAAAAGCCTCCTTCCAGGCTATAGTAAGGAGGGGGTTCATTGTAGACTGGGGGTGGTTGAACACCGGTTCGAATTTCGCTCTGTGGAGGTAGTTGCCTCATAACCCCTGCACGTCGGGATGCGCGACGGTAACACAGATATGAGAGAATTCCGCCAAATACGATAAACATTATTACACCTACGAAGATCACTGCGACAATCCAGGGTGCTGTTTTAGAAAATTTCTTACATTTGGAAAATGAACAACTTTCCTTAGGACCTCCACAGTCGCTGTTAAAGAAGCATGTCTCGTCGACACAGCTTTCTTGACAAACGTGAACTTCTTTACTTCGCTTACAACAATACTCTGAACTTGGGCATTCAGAGCTCGACGAACACTCCATGCAGCCGGAGGTGACGCATGTGCTGTTAAGACAACATTCACTCCCACTACAATCACTCTCTGTATAACAGGAGGTAGGCACGACACATTTATTGCTACTCGAATCACAACTCTCTCCAGGCCCTCCACAATCACTGTCGTAGGAGCATTTTTCACCAACACAATTTTTTCGACAAACGTTAACGTGGAAGATTCCTCGCTTACAACAATACTCCGAACTGGAGCATCCAGAATTCGATGAACACCGCGTGCAGCCTGAGGTGACGCAAGTACTATTAAGACAACATGCATCTCCACTACAATCACCGTCTGTAAAACAGAG